TCATTGGTCCACAAACATCAGAATGAATCATCTCTTATAATTTGCTTGCACATATTGCAATTCGACTTGGAAATGAAACCATTTATTATTTGCCTTGAATATAATCTTTACAAGCAAGTGTCATAGCATTGTGGCTAATTTGACCAAGATCCAAGCCTTTTACCATAGATTGAAGCTCTTTCATGCTTTTGGCATTCAAATAACCAAGTCGTTGATGCCAAATGCCAAACTTATCTTCATTTTAAGAAAAATCAGCACATGTCACCACTTCAACTCCATTCACCTTTTTTATAATTGATAAAGTAGAGGTTGCCATCTCTAAGGCCTTTGGCAATATGTTGTCCACTCAATGTCTTCAAAAAACACCTATCCATGTCAAATTGAACTTTATAACCATGTAATATAAGTTTGCTTACCAAAAAAAATTCTTCTTCATCTTTGGTACATGTAAGACTTCCTTCAATTTTTTCCTCTTGATTTGGTCCTTCACTACAATCTCCACTACAATAGAGCTAATTCCAATGGCTTGCATCATGCCATTATCTTCCAACCATACTTTTGTTGGTGGAATTACTTCATAAAAGTCAAAGGAATACTTATATAGTATCATGTACTTAATAGCATCCGAATCTATAATCCACTTAGACATGGTAGCCATGGAGGCTCCTTTACTTGCCATAAAAGTATAATCATCTCCACCAAAATTAACACTAGCATTATTTGTATTTTTCCTATCTCTTCTCTTAACCTTGTAGTAATTCCAAATAAAATGACCTGATTTTCTATAAATATAGTAATTTCTTATGTTATTTTTTAAATTATCATATTGGTGTAGAAAGCTACCTTTTTCTTGTCTTGAGAATAGAGTCAAATCATCACTTTGAAGCTCTTTTTTTTTCCTCTTAGTTACTTCATATATGAGTTTTAATGTGACATAATTCATGGTAAGCTCCTTCATGTTGATAGATTCTAATGCCACAATGAGGTAGTTGTAGGACTCGAGAAGGCTCATGAGTAATGTCAACATAATTTTTCTATCATCAACCGGCATATCAACAACTGCTTGTTGGTTTGCAAGTACTTTTATCTTGTTGATATGATCCATGAGATCATCTCTTTCTTCTATCTTTATTATTAAGAACTTTGTCCTTGTCCAAGGAATATTAGCAAGATTTCTACCCTCATAGATGTTGCAAAAAATCTTCCATGCTTCTAGTGGTCCATTACAAGCAATTACATGTGAAAAGTTGGTATCATCAAGATTTTTTGCAATCATGCCAAAAGCCTTCTTTTTACGTCGTTTGTAGTCCTTCTTCACCTTGACATTAACATCATCAATATGAGGTTCTTCACTTTCATCAATAATGTCCCAAAGATCCAATGAAGCCAATAAAAGTTCCATTTTCTTCTTCCAATGGTAGAAGTTGTCACCTCTAAACTTCTCAATCACTCTCAAACCCTCACCCTCACTTGAAGCCATGTCTAAAGAAGAGGTGTATCAAAGAAAATCAAGAAAAGAGAAGATAGAACTCTAAAAATCAACAAAAAGGTGTTGCTGCCTTAGAATCCCAAAATGCCCTCGTTGTGAGTAAACTAGTGATTTCACTCTTTGATCGCTCTCAACTTTACTTATAAGACTTCTCACAAGTCTTATACACTATCTTAACCTCTCTTACAAGCTTTGCCACTTTTTTATCACCTCTAATCTCTCATAACACCTTTATTCATTGTAAGAAGATCAATTAAGAACTTAAGCATATGAAAGTTCAATGTTAGTATACCAATGATGTAGGTTAGCAAAGAAACATACTACTAGTGCTCTAGAACAACATTCTAAAGTATATAACAATCTCAAAGACCATGAATGTACTTAACAACAAGTAAAAGCAAAAACTACATCAACAACTAGATGAAAAAGGAGATTTAAAAGATATCAAACCATAACATCAGCAACAATCATGAAATCTACTCTTCATAACAACAAATACTTCAAAGAACTTCAAAACTCATAACTAAAGGTGAGTGGGTCCATAACCTATTAAAGAAATTGATCTTTGAAGTCACAATACATAGCATCAGCAAGGTTGCATACAAAAAAAGTATGGAGTAAGATGTCTCTCACTTCCAACACCTAATACTTATAGGTTGTGGTTGTTGTTCTACAAGTCAACTTCCACTCTTTGACTTTTAGGTCCTAGGATTCTTTGGCATCTTACTAACCAAAAGGATATCCTATGTCAAACACTAATTACTCTTACTTAGTCTTTGGATATTCCCTACTTCATACTTTATCCTCTTGACTTTGACTCTTGGTCCTTGATCTCGTCCTATATCCATAGGATGCCCTTTCCATATACCAAGAGTCAATCATTTGACCATTAGCAACTTACCTAAGGTAATACCTTATACTACATGACTTATTTTATTCTTACTTACTTACTTCAATAGGGCATATGTATGTATTTTTTTTGGATCTCTCTCTTTGATTGAACACTGTTGTTTTTTTTCTAGAAAACTCTTATGACATTCCCTCCAGAGAAACGATACATTTATGCACTCAAGGATACATGCTTAAACAATTCCCGGTCCTTTGCTGCAGGCAACAATTCTCCACCATTAGCTCTGATCAATGTCAAAATATACACCACCAAGCTCAAAAATTTGTAGTAATCTCTTAATGAACAGTTTCCTCTTTAAACCAAGAGAGTTGCAATTAAGCGCACTAATCACAATCCTCTACGTGTTTTGGTTGTGCATGTAGGAATATTAGGTGTGCTTATAGCAAGTTAGGGTGTGCTTGTAGCCTCACTCAAATTATAATAGTAGGATTGATTAGTAAGATGCCTCATTCTTCCAATGAATTTCCAAGCCATCAATTTTCAGATACTCTCTAATTTTTGTAGTATACAATTGTATAAAGTACCATAAAACAAATAAATAGTACAGCTGTTGTTACTTATGAAAATAAAATCATTACAGTTTGAAGTTTAGAGTTATATATTGGTACCAATTCTCATACTTGATTTATAGAACAATCAGCCAGTCTACAAGTTACTATTAACTGCATAAATTATCACGTTTTATCCATATGAATGTGTCTGTATCTATCTATATAAAGTTATAGTCCATGTCTTTCATTCATCTTATTTATTCTTATAACACATGGACGTGTAGTGGTACAACCATAGTAATAAATCAATGAAATAAAGATGATAAGAATTGTATGTGTTCCCCTTCTGGAGTATTGGAGTTGGATAGCCACGAGATTTGGATAATCAAATCCCCTGAGAGATCCCAAGCAGCCAGTTTTAGGGTTTCAAGATTTTGTCCCCATGAGCTGGAAGATGTCGCATGGAATCCGCATTCCGGGAGGTGGGTCAGTCGCAAGCGGATTGCACGAGGCGCAACTGCGTTTGCTTCCATGGTTGAGAGATCCCTCAAGGCTTCTTCCCAAACTTAGCAGCCCTGATTGCATCCACAAAACACCCAGTTTAGCAGTACTGGTCTCGTTATCTCCGTTCTCCATGGAGGAGCTGCTTCAACTTCAGCTCCTCTTCCATGCCCGATACGAGTCGATGGCGCTGGTCCACATCTCATCGCGTTGCATCATTCGTGGGAGCTCAAGCCACGGGCGAATGCCATCACAATGCATACACTACTCGCAGTCTTGCTGTGCCTTTTATCCCTTTCATTAGTTTTCATTGTCCAGGCGAAGGAGAAAAGCAAGACTCCAGCCCAGTACCTAGAGTCCGGGGCTCCGATTGTGATCCTCACAAACGCGTCGTTGCCCGTGGACATTCGTTGCCAGCAGGCGGATGGAGGAAGTGAAGTAGCCGAAATCTTTAGAACCCCCCGAAGCACATTGAAGCCCTTCGAGCATTGGAGCATCAATTTCGCACCCACCTCGGAAGATCCGCTCTACTGCACATTCCGGAGCTCCTTGCGCAAATGGAACTGCGACGAGCGATGGCTGATCAAGGACGCGTGCCTCTGGGAGAAGTCGCGCTCTATCATGCCGGGCAACAAACCGGTGGCGAATTCTCCGTGCCCTCGCTGTGACACTCGCAACAGCATTGGGAAACCTATCTGTGTCTGGACAATACAAGACGATGGGATCTACGTACAGCAGTGGGATCCTGAGAAGTTAAAGGACATATTGGTGTTGAAATACCCATGGCGAGAAGACAATCCTATGTTCTACGTCCCAACAACCCCCTCCAGATTCTCCGTGACGAACTATCTGAAGCATACAGTGAAGATTCAGTGTGATGTAGTGAGCGAAACTTATTATTTGCAGGGGATCGACGAGGGTGGCCAAAGGCCAAGATGGGAGTATGAAATTGATCCGGTGGTGGACGTGGATTCCACATATTTCACGTGGACGTGTAGTTTTGAGGTTTTGGGCACCGAGCTGCGGCGGGGAGGTGTTCAGATATGGAGTCCACAGCCGGAGGTGAACAATTGGGTCCGCTCACCGGATTGCATCGACTGTGCTTGGAGGCTTGATAAGCAAGGCTTGTGGCTTGATGACAGATCCTGTTATACCGACAAGCCTGAGTGGGTTATGGAGCATGTTTGGGACTCTATTCTTAACGGTACCGACAATGATGACCTAGATTGGGATTCTTACTGTTATTCTATGAAAAGATTCTCGCATGTACAGCAGATGTAAAGTAGTCCCGACAAACCATAGGGAGTTATAACCATCATAAAGATTTCCGAATTAGTCTCCTTGTGATTTGCTTTGTCGGAAGTTAAAGCTCTCAAGACTAAACTAAGACGGTACATGAGTAAATTCGTTCCACTTGCTCCACAGATTCACGTACTTGCGCATGGTGCTAGATGTTCTCACAAAGCACTGCAAGGATCAAGGGGTTTATCAATGGCAGGTTGCATACCTTTACTTTCAATGTAAGAATTAAAATGAAATGATTGAAGTAATAGGAGTGAATTCAAATCTGTTTACATACAACTGCAATGAAAGATCCTCATCGAGAATAAGAATGTAGAAAGGCAATTGCCGCAAAACACAGCATACATAACACATTACAGAAAAAACTATTTGATTCTAAACGCTGCAAGCAGGAAATCATCAGATATCCACCCGCGCGGCTCGACTCATTGTAAGCTCAAAGCTCTTGCACTCAATATACCTATCTCTGTCCACTTACTCACCTAGCCCTAACATCTATCAAGAGACATGAAACTCGTTCAACACGGATATCTTAATGATCAACTCTCGCCCAAACGAGCATTTCACACCAGCCCCACGTCCCCGAATCTGGACATTTTCGCAGCGTTCATACTTCCAGTGCCCTTAACGAAGTTTCTGAATAATGCAAGATCACGTCTATAAAAGTAAAGCATCCAAAACTTTGTGAAGAAAGTAGAAGGAAGTGAATGCCCGCTCCTTCAATTCAATCAACATGCACAGCCTCCTGCTTTACCCTCCGCCTGTGGGTTTGTTGTTGGCTTGAGATTGACATCAACAAGATCATCCTTGTGAGATGACAAAGCCTCCATACCAGGTAATGCTGCAGCAATTTTTCGAAACAGTGCCTGCACGATATAGTATTATATGAGCTGTATGGTATGGTTGCACTTTTAAAGCTATATATAATGAGCGCTACGAAAACCTAATAAGTATCAAAACGTATGCAAGTGCGTCCTCTAAACAGTGATTGATATTTCCTCTAGATATGAAGCAACCAGTAAAACATCACTCTAATAAACCAGAATGAATGCAACCTCAAGGGCCGAACCTTGATGTTAAAGCCAGCTTTTGAACTCGTCTCAATAAACATGACTCCAAATTCCTTAGCTTTGGCGTCACCTTCTTCAATCGATACTTGACTAAAAACACATCAAAAGAAAAAATTAACAATAAACCTCCTTGCAAGGCACGATGCCATTATCCATTTAAGTGGACCACACATACAAATGATCACAAGACCAAAAGAATCATTAACTACTCCTGATAAATAGAAACAGCATTAGATATTCACCGTTTATCGACAAGATCAGTCTTATTGCCAACAAGCATTATGATAACATCACTTCCACGCTCGGTCCGGACTTCTTCAACCCATCGAGCTGTGTTCAGAAACGACTGCCGATCTGTCCAAGGCATTTTGTATCAGCAACGCTATCACCTGCTGAGTTATACTTCAGAGTTGATGTACCATGCAAACCCACGAAATAAATCCCTCACTCTCTTTTCTCTTGTTATGTCAATGCAACTATTAACACGCGAATACAGTGACCACAGCACAGCTAGGTGAAGAACGAAACTCCTTACAATGCCTTATATATATACTTACTCGAAACATCGTAAACAACTACTGCCACAGACGAGTCTCGAATGTAGCTGGGAATTAAACTCCTGAACCTCTCTTGTCCAGCTGTGTCCCTACATTTCATAACAGTCCCATTTTCTGATGAAATTCAATGGGAATTTCCACAAGGCAATGTCATGTGCAAAAAAGATAACCATTATCACAAGGAGTACTGTAACAGATTTCGTAGAGCGAAAAAGGGAAGTACACCCATACCCTCAAGTGCAGAAAATTTCTGTTTATATGAGCAAGTAACCAAACCCATTCTGAACGTACTTACCAGAGCTGTAGTCGCACAGTGCGATCCTCAAGGTACATGGTCTTGGAGAGAAAGTCAATTCCAATAGTTGCCTGCCGAAACGAATGAAGTACAAACAGAGCATTAAGAACAAGTATGATGCATGAAGGACTCAAAACCGCTAATGACTCTCCTCTAGATTCGCTGAGAAACTAGCCCATGAAACCATACAGAGCTTGCAGCAAAGTTACATTTGCACAGAGAAGAAAGTTATTAAAAATTAATTCACCTGGTACGTGTTGTCGAACTTGTCATACATAAATCGCGTGATAATACTTGTTTTTCCTGGCAAACTCCACGACTTCTGGATCAGTTCTCGAAGTATATTTGGGTGTTGGGGAGAAAGAAAAAATGTGGTGTTTACAGTTTTTGAAGAAAATCATCTCAGCGGAAAAAAGATCGAACTTACCCACTGATTGATCCCCCAAGAACACTAGCTTATACTTGGCAAGTGGCGACACTGTGGTGGTTTGCCCCATACCCATGGTACCCATCCTGCCTATCCAGCTATGTCAGATCTCTTCCTGTGCCTCAAACCGGACTCCTTGCTTCAGACCTTGCAATATCCTGCTTCTCAATTCTACAAAATAATATTACTAGCTTCTCTCCGCCACATTCTCAAACAAGAATTCGTGCTTCATACCAAATCTGTCACCCAAGTTTTGATTGCCGAGGCGCTGTCGCTTAGGGTTAAGACTATTTCAAAAAACTCTGAAGCCACTCAGTATTTCCCCCTCCGTTCTCCCATAAGTACCAGAACCCCTCAGAACACGATCCGCGGTTACAACACAAAACAAGAGACTAGACCAAATCGAGCAGTCCAGGACCCAACTCCAAAAAAAAAGTCGACAAACCTATGTCAAGAATCCCGCGATCAGTCAACTTGACAACCACCGTAATCCTCAAACCACGGCAAACCAAAACGCGCGAGAATCATACCCGGAAACTTAAACCAACCCCCCCAACCCCGCTAGGGTTGAAAGCTTAGGAACTAACACCACCGAGCAGGAGAAGCTACGAGGAACACGGATGAGCTTAAACTTGGAACAGCCACTGTGTAATTCTGGAATTGAAATAAAAACTGTCAATAAAAAGCTCCCAATCATTCGATCTCGAACCTCGACATGCACAGCAACGACAATCGGTAAGACGCTCAGGGATCTCGACCTTCCTCATTCAACACTGAATTCATAGGCCCACAAACTTCGTCGTCGTCGTCCTCGACTGGCAGACGAGAAGTCGCACTCCCTGTAACCGGGTGTCAATATAAAATAGGTATCTCCATGGTATAAACACGGTATGAAAGTCATTGTATTTACCTCATCTAAGGACTCTCCACGTGGGCTTCTTTGATGAACTCTACTCCGGTGTGAACAAGGCACACGTGGTTATAGATCCTGTACGAGGCTGCATTGAACGGGTGACTGTGTGGTCATCGATGACCACTCTGCCAAGCTTTGCGTGCCTGATAAGTGGTCGTCCGCGTGGTCTCGCCCTCAAGTGTGAAAAGGATTTTTATGACATACTTCTAACCACTTGTGGCTTTTAGAGCCAGTCATTAAATACACTGATTTTATTGTTCCACACTAGGTGACCTCATATCACAAAAAAGTAATCTTAACATGTTATTTTGAAAATATATAAAAAATTTAGATGGATTCTTATAAGGTACAATTTTGAATTTAGATAGAGCTAAAATTATTCATATCCACCAAAAGCTCCCTTTTTAAGCATGCAAAATCCACAAAACTTGCATAAAATTTCAAACTTGATTCTATATGAGCTTCATTTAAATTGGAACTTGATACAAAGTGTAAGCAGTCCTTTGCTAAAAGGATGCTTATTTGTATCTTCAATTTATCTTCTCAGAGATAAATTTACCTCTATATATGTATGTAACATTTTTTTTTTCATATTTAATATATATCATTTTTTTCTTTTTTAGTTTTTTTTTAATTATTATGTATTTTATGAGATTGCAAATCTAACTTATCTATTTTTTATTTAATACTTTTTAATATTTAATATAGTTATCAAATATTACGAAATAAAATATAATAGTTTATTATTTACTACAATATCTAAATATATTTATGTATAGAAGATTTCTATAAGGTAAAATTTTAAGAAATTTTGGCTTTTAAGAAATAAGGTTAACATTGGCAAATAACTTAAAAGAACTTGCTTATAAACCTTACATATGGTTTCTATTGCAAATATTGCTCAAAAGTTCAATTTATATATTTGATTTGTCCATCAATTTGAAGGAAAGAATGAAAAAACAACTTGGTATTTCCTTTCAATATTGTGAAGGATGTCCTCTAAAACTGTGATAAAATTTAGAATTATTCAATAAATATTCTGTCAATTGGAAGTCCATAATATTCATAGATAATATTGAATAAACTTGGATGTTATTTTACCAATTATAGCTTTTGTGTAAGACACAAAAAGTATCATTTTTATTAGATAATTACCATTATAAGAAATTAGTTACAAAAAAATCTAAAATATAAAGATTTGTAAGAACATCTATTGAAACAAATTACCACAATTATTTTATAATTAATAAAAAATACTAAAAAAATTTACATTGTCAATGATGTCAAATCTTTGTTAAAGAACAAATATCATAAGGTTATACAAATGTCTAAAGTTTTTTACATTTAAAACCATCAAAAAAATCTTTATATATACTTTAAAAATGTGTATTTTTACAATATCATGTAATCGGAAGATCATATTGTGCTTGAAGGGCATATAATGGTATTTAATTTTATGAAACATTTTAAAACCTACTTAAATAGAGAAGTTTGATTTCAAATTTTAATCTAGTGATATTATCACATAGGTTTTTTTTAATGTGAAAAACAAGAGGATCTATGAACACTTCTAATCAAAATGCATAAATCGATATGAAGTCAATTACAATTATTGGCTTAATTATGCAAATATGTATTTGCTTCATTTGCAAGAAGATGATTCAGTATTAACTAAATGTACTATCTTTCTCTTTTGATACAAGTTAGTAGTATTCAAAAAAAGTATCCAAAATATCTTGTTGTGTTTTATAAAATATATAATATTAAACATAAATTGTTGTAAAAATGTGTTCTAACACACATGGTGATTATTCAAGACAAATGTTGACATGAAACACTTAAGATTCAAGTGATTGGTTTAACTCATGATGAAATTAGAATTGTTTTTAGAATTGATTATTAATAACACATTTTTATTTTATATAAACAAAATGAAGTTGTAAAATATTTAATTTGACACAAATTTGTGCATAATTATTCCACTCAAATTAAATATTTTACAACTTCATTTTGTCTTCGAACAACAACTTAGAGGAATGTTTATATTCATCTCCAAAAGTGATTACCAAATTTTTAAAAATATATTACATCACACATAATTTTTTTAGTTGTTTAATCTAAAATATTTGTATCTTCTCAAAATCTGTATCTTTGTTCTTAGTTTAGAAGTTAAGTGTAGTTAATTGATTAAAAAGACTCAATATCAAAGACAAATGATAATGATCCTCAATTGTCAATTTATCTGATCCACAATAATTTACACAAATTCACAAAAAGTTGTTTTTTTTCTATACAAAAAACATTGATGTATTAAGAAAAATATTTTAAAAGCCAAATGACTAATTTTGGTTTTTTTTTTTTTTTTTTTTTTTTTGTCAATGTATTCATTAAAAGAAGTAAGAGTATTTTGCAATAAATTCAAGATTCAAGACATATACCTCGTACATGTAAAATTATGATAATGTACCTTCCAAATATTGTTCTCAAGTCCCACTTGTCTATTTGATATTATAGTGTATTCAAAACAGATCATCCAAAAAATAAATAAAACATATGTGTGTGTGTATATATATATATATATATAATCTTGAATATAATAGTTGAATTTTGAAAATGTATATATATATATATATATATATTTAAGATTCAAGTATTATCAAAATAAAGCAAATTCTACTATCAATGTATAGGAAATCTCTAATATTTAAGAATAAAATCATCATAAATAATCAGTACCAACTACATGTTCAATACATGATTTGATTGGCTTATATACACAATAGTACATAAAAATAAGGTATTGCAAATTCCATCATACTTTTTGTCACCACCACATGATATTAGTTTAAGCTATTGCCACCACAACCTTCCACACACTCAACAAATTTATTTAGTTTTTTTTATTCCAATAAAAAATACTATTAGAATTTCCAGTATGTTTTACATTTTAAAATGCACTTAATCAGACTAACAATTAATTAAAAAGATAATGAGAATAAGTCTTTCATCAGATATGTATATGCTCTTATTTCTTAAATCAAAATTGATGAAATGGATATATTCAGCATTGACAACAAGGGGATGGCAGGAAGTGGTGGCAATAGTAAAAATTATGATGAATTGAAGATATCTATGACGAATTTCTCAAATTGTTTATATTGTACACAAGATTTTTCCACAAATACTTGTGTGGTGAAAATTTGACAGAATTTACCGTGAAAAAAATAAATCTAAGAATAATCAAGTGAAATATGATTGATAAAAGAAATATTATCACATGTATACAAATGTCTATATGCAGCTCCACCCACTTTCCAATGTGCCTCAGGAAAAACATTGTTGTTGAATTGTGGAGAAATTGCAAATAAGAGAGGGATGGAAGGTTTAGGTGCTAAAAAGTGCTGGAACATCAGAGTTTCAAACGCAGCACTTGAAGTCGACCCAAGAGTCCTCCAGTTGCGAATTAGTGCAGTCTACCTCAGCTGCAGAAGTGTTGTTTCGCGACGTGCTAAATCTCCAAGTCAACCTCACATCAACAACAAGGCATTCATTGACGCTACAAACAGCGTCTGATTGCCGGAGACGGAAATGTTTAACCCTGAAGATCTCCTCGGAAAAGTAACGGCCAATCCAAAGCCCCCAACTCGGGCAATGAAGTCATATCTTGAGCTCCAACCCTAAGGAATCCTCGAAATAGCATCTACAAGTAGGGGAGTGTTGGAGCTGCAATGTAGGATGAAGCTGTTCCACCATACGGACTCTCCTACCATTTTTCGTGATATATTGCACTGCTTTTCACAAGAGCGAAGGAAATTCTGTGGTTCTGGAAATTCGATATAGATTATTTCTTTTTGGTCCCCTTTGCAGAACCTTTCTTAGGAGCAGCTATAACTTGCTTCCCAGATGCGCCTTTAGCCTGCTTTCCAGCAGGAGCTTTCGCAGCAGGGGCCTCCTGTAATAACTCGAACACAAAGTAATAAGCACAAGAGGATCACTGTCACACGCTACAGCCCGTCCAGCAGAGCTTTCGAAGTTCGATTGTTGGTCAATTTAGTTTAAAAAACGGCATTTCAAATCTAGTGTGATGCATAGAATATTGCACCCCTTCTGTTGATAAACTAATAATAATCAGTAATACTAAATGAAAACATACCTTTCTCTTGTTTGAAGAGTTGTTGACTACACCACCGAAGAAACTCTCCAGCCTGCACAGAGTGCGATCAATAGACAGACTTCGTACGCAGGAAACAAGAAATAAAACATAGCCAATCTGGATTGACCTCAAATAGGAGGTCTGAATTGCAACAACTCCCATAAAATAGGGTGAGTAATTCGTTAATTCTTCCACAATGTACCGTGAAAACTCATAGTCTGCATAAACAGTTTACAAACCTTCCTTGTGACGACTTGTTCTTTGCCAACTGGATCTTTTTAATTGCCTGCATAAACCAGAAAACGTAAGTCATGTTCAGGTGAATAATGTTTTCACTCAAATTCTGGGAGTGTTTGAAACAGGCTTACCGTCTGCACTCGATCGTGGTTGAAGCCGTTTTCTTCAACAAGAAATTTAATAAGGCCCTACCAAAACATTGAAGCCTAAAGATGTCAGCTTTATGAAGATTAAAGCTTATACGAAAAGCCCAAAAAAAACGGAAGCATACTTGGCTCAATTTCGCCTAGAACATAGAAGGTAGTAGCAGATAAAGGAGTATATCATATGAAATTGCAAAGAACAACCTCTGCATCTGGTGCAGTCCACTTGAAGTCTGGGACATCCTCAGCTTGAGTAACTAAAGGCTCTTTGAAAAGACGACGCGCTTCCTCATAAGGCCATGGATCTGGTATTTGATATCTGTCATTGAATGACATCAATAAATAAAACATTCGGGAAGGGAATAGGAGACAGGAAAGATCCTACTCTTGAAATTTCACTAATGTAAGGAAGAAAGCATCGGAATGCGATGAAAGTACCTGTCTTTGTTCAAATTTTCCAGAATTTTCTCCAAAGAACCATGTTGTCGGATTAATTTCAGTGCAGTTTGCGCCCCAATACCTGTCAAGTTCGATTACGAAGAGCAAAGATGAGGCAAAGCACGATATAAGTACTCACTCGTTATCATTTCATTCTATCAATAAAAATGGTAGTCAGAAAAATTAACGTAGTAGGAGCAGACACTAAGGTTCAATCGGTTACCTCGGATTGTGTCAATGTAATCGCACCCACATAATATGCACAAGTCTACAAATTGATCCATAGTGAGACTCAACCCTTCCAAAACCTGAAAGCCAGGAAATACAGATTACCCAGGGAATTTTGATACGTTTTCCGCACGTATGTGTTACATAAGCATTGAGTACTTTAGTTTGAAATGAGTTGTCGCAGCTCAAGCAGTGACCAAACATCCAGCCATTCTATCCTATAGCACGAAGATGTAACCCATGGTTACAGCACGCTTAAGATCATTGTCAAACAGACAAGTACCTTATTCATATCAAACTCCATGACAGGTAATTTCCGAGAGACCGGTTCCATCAAATGGCGTAAAAATCGAGTTGATCCAAATGTGAGAGAATCCATATCTTCTGATGCTACTGCATAAACCTAAAATAACAAAATGACATTCAAAAGTACCAACATTTAGAAAGACATGTAGGTGGTACATCGAACGGCAAAAGAGATGGCTTGCTGCTTAAGTGAATACGAAACAGATTAACTAATACAAAAGTCAGTCATAATACTGCTGTGCAATAAGTATATAGCTATGAGATGAAACGTCGTTCAAATATTTTGAAATATGATGCATGTCGATCTGTTGTATTTGGCTTAATCATCAACCCACCCAACATGTTGAGTTGTGGAGGATGTTGTGGCAAGTTGAAGCTGCATCGAACATTTTAAGTTCCTCAAAAAAGTAGCATAATTTCTGAAGAAAAGTGAGCTATAACACTTCACGAGATACATGATTGGCATACTGGTATAAGGATGAGAGGGCGATTTACCTTGCCTGTCTTGCACAGTGATGCGCACTCGGCTTCAGCCTCAGATGGAGCCTGAACAGAACAAACCGGACTTAAGTTGAAAGCTAAGAAGTAAACCGTTGCCCTGAAATTAAAACAGACATTCTGAACCTCAACCCTAACTTGTAACTCGTACCTCAACAACAGGAACGCCCATAAGTCGTAGCAGCTTGCGACAATCTTCGTTGTGTTGTTTGGTAACCTGTTCAATAGTAATCATGTCACTACCACCTTCACCTCATCTTGGCTCACTATGTACAAAAGATGAACAATCACACCAATTTGTGTGATTGAGAGGAAATTAAAGTTATCAAAGACATGATTGCAACCTAAAGAAATTGAACAGATCTTTGGATTACAGGAACAACGTACCTTCACAGTCCTTTTACTGTATTTCTCCATATCAGCCTCATTTCCTTCCTGGGGCATTCAACATGCATATTCCTTCATTTAGGCATCTCATGTCAGCAATTCAAGCATCAAGGTAAAGTTAATTAATATATGAATTGAGAGAAAAAGAAAAAGGTTTGCTTCACGTAATAACTCAACACCAATAATAGAAAAAGAAAAAAGAAAACAAAGATCAAGTGATGTTCAGACGCGATACCAACTTGGCTGTAGCCAGACTTTCAACGGCCTCCTCACGCCTTGCTAGTCTGTAACTCGAGAAGAAACATATTCAACAAGCCTTCTTCAACAAGCATGTCACACAAGAACAATTTTACACCAAATCAACTGAACTACAGATAATAATCATGATAACTGAATAAATTTTAAGAACCAAATGCAAACATTTACCGCTTAGCAAGCTCCCCTCCCTTCATTTCCGGAGGCTTCCCATCGAAAACATAACTGCAAACAGTTAGATACAGTGAGTTGCCACTCCACATACAGACTATCAACCTTCGGAATTAAACATTGTAGACAAGGAACGGACGACAATGCGATATACAGGCGCCGCAGAGCAGGACGAGGCATGCTTGCAGAACAGCACGTACACGGGCTTTAAACCGGCCTCCAACACTCGAATCGTTCGATTGAACATGCCGATTAAATGACTGCAGAGAAGCACAACGGACAAGAACGAAGGTTATGTTTCTGCCATGCGCGTTATTCAAACAATCTATCGAAACTCAGGCTAAATTCTGCAATTAGATTCGCTAAAAATACGCATTCACGGCTCAAGCAGAAATGGGTTCCATCGCATGAAAGGCGAAACGATGCAAGGATAGAATCTCTATACAGATGTCAATTCAGTCACGAGTAGTTTATTATCTACTCAGAAAGAAAGACTAAAATCAGCTCCACATTCCACCTCGTCACTTCTCCAGCGTCATTTGTAAGCATATCGGTCCCAGTTCGTCCCACGACTACCTGCAGAAGAACAGCATCAAATCAATGTAGTACTTTGCAATAAATCATTACGAAGGAAGAGGGACACGATACACGATAGACGGAACGCGAATCGTTTGAAAACACAACCTGCGACCAATCCGGGCAATTATTACGCTTATGCAATTAGAAGCTGTAAGAGGGATTGCGCCATTCAATAAAGACTTCATAAAACTTACAAGAAATGAGTAGATGCTCATGCTGGCATCGATAGCTATTTTTCGACCAAAGTAGCTCTCAAATTTTTGCTCTTTCATCGAATCAGGTGCATTGTCCGCTAGCAGCTTCGTCAACCCCTGTAAACAGAATTCTACATTAAAAAAACTCTGTATCATACGACTCCATCCTTACATGCCTAACTCACTTAAAAAATCAACCTGGAGGAAGGGTAAAAAGAAGGCGAGGTGAAACAAAAAGCCACGGAATCGCAACAAAAAGCGAGCAACGCAGACTAGATCTCCTCACCTTAATCCCCATGACTCCTAGCTACAACAACCTTGGGCAGTGCGAAGACAGCAGATATATTCAGCACGATTCAGGACCAGTGTAAGTCTTCTCCCTTGCTCTCGCTAATTTGTGCTCTCCTTTCCCAGCTTCTCCGTTGTTAGGGCTTCACGGGCTTCAAAACAGAACAAAAGATGACATCCAACGAAAGCTCAGGCGAAGGAAGAAGTACACTAACTACTTGACTGGTTTACTGGTATCTGCAGACAGCCTGAAACTTCAGAGAGAAGCTTGGCAGGCAGGCAGCAGAACAGAAAACTAAGCACCAAAAAGAAAGCAGCATAAGGGAGCACAGGCGTAGCAAGGAAGCGGGCCTGACGCGGGCTCTAGACCCGAAGTGGAGGGGTCAGTCGCCATTTCGCGCCACTTTTCAAACGGTCCCTAGCTTTGGGATCTAGTTTGAGGACTTGTTCCAGGACATGGTTGAGGGGCGAAGCGGATGAGATAAGTTTGGAGCAAAGATTCCTCATTCGATATTAATGTATTCATCCATTGTATGAATTACAATCGTTGTTGAATGAATCGAGATTCCCGTGTATTACTAACATGCGTTGGACTAGTTAATTTTATTTGTGTGTTTTTTTGTTTTTGTTCTTATTTATTTGGGTTTCTAATAATGAGTATATGTAATTATTTAATTTATTCACTAGTGTAATGATCTTTCATTGAAAATTATTTAACAGAAGGTAAACACTCGAAACTAGTTCTGTATAAATGATTTTAAAATACTTTTAATTAATGGGTTCGTTGTATAGAGTGAGTATCACAATGCAATACTCGTGATGTTCAATCTATATATCTATGATTGTGATTTAAATGAAACCAAATCTGTACAGAAACATGATATTTGAAATGAGTGATGTATTCAATTTGTGTTCTAAAAACTCTGTTACCCCATCAATCCAATAAGATAAAATAAAATAATAAGTTATACTTTTCTAGATAAGTTATTGTACATCAATTTCAGTGTGGGATTGACATCAAATATCATGATTCAATTTTTGGAATGAAACAAATCAAATCAGTATATCTTCAAAAATTATGATACTTTGATGACAGAATATCAATTTTTTAAATAAAATTAAAATTAAAAATAGCAAACAATTAAAATACATTCATTATTATTAAATTGTGAAATTTGAAGTTTTTTTTACCAAAACTTCAATAGATGCATTAGGTGAACTAGTTATTGTGTCATTTAGTATTAATTTATTAAAAAACACTTACAATTATATAAAAAGGATCGTATTCAAAACAACACTTAGAAATATGTTTGTTAGAAATTAATGTTTTATATATTTGTTGTCGACGCCCTACATGCACATGTAGTTGTTATTTATATTTTTTATTTGCGAATACAAGTATGTAACATCTAAAATATCAATGCAGCATACATGCACATGTAGTTGTTATTTATATTTTTTATTTGCAAATACAAGTATGTAACGTCTAAAATATCCATGCAGCATGTGAAATATCAACACCAACATATTAAAATCACATATATAAGTTAAATCCAAACCTTAACAAAACAATTAAATGATGATATGTACATATATATATCAAAAAATATCTAACATGTACAATCAACTTGATTGATGACAAATAGTAATTGGAATGATATTTTTTAATTATGATTTTAAAAGCATATTCAACATAAACCTGTTACAATAATCTTTGAAAAAAACAATTTTAAGATGTATAAAAGAAGAAAAATATATGTATTTAAGTGCATATTGCACAGAAAGGAATTTTAAAATATGACGTTATTAATTTATTTCCATGTGTATGAGTGTAAATGTGTGTGTTGGTATATGTATATATATATATATATATATATGCATACATGATTATTATTTTAAAATTATTCTTTCAGTAGTTCAAAATATATATTAAATCAAAATGCAATTTGTGAAAAAACAATCATTTTATGTTTAGAACATGTATGCATGACCTTTGAATTTGTATCCAACTTAAGTACATATGACAAGGACCAGGTGATAGGTATGAAAGATAACTTGAATGACTTGTAATAACACATTTAGTACTATTGATGTTGTGACAAAAGAAGGTATTATTTTCCTTATACACATGTAAAAAATGTGCTTTTAATATCATTGTACTTTGATTCATGAGCTCATACTTGCATGTGTACCATCATGTGATGATATATATATATATATATATATATACAAATCAATTAATTTTGGTCATAAGTTTTTTGTAACATATAAATACTTTTGAAAATTGACAAATTTAACAAAATTACTGGTAGAAATTTAAGTGTCATTGATAGAATTGTGAATGTATTCAAAATACAACTTTTGAATATGATAAAGCACTAATTACTTAATTTTACTAGTATTGTGCTGATGTGTATTGTATAAACTATACTTGTTACCATATAAATATATACAAAAACATTAATGTGTCTCTATTTTGTACATATGTATTTCAAAATTATATAATGTTTACAATTTAGTCTTTATTTGGAACTTTTAAAATCTTTTATGAAGCATACTGGTGTACATAATGTAATATACAAACTACATATTAATGCAAAACAATCTAATAGATTTAAAAAAACAAATAATTAAATTAAATTGGCTAGTCATAGGTCATAACTATATGGTATTTTAATACTTGCATTTCAATACTTGCTCTTAAAGTTTTTTTTTGTTATTGATTATTTTATATAATGTATTTTAGGAATGGTATGCAAAATATACATCTTATAAACTTATATTTGGGATCAAAACAAGGATCTTGCGATTTGAAGAAATACATACATACATGCATACATACATACGTACATACACACACACACACATATATATATATATATATATATATATATATATGTACTTTTAAAAACATTTATAATTGTCCAAAACTAGCTTACTATAGTGTTTTTTATGTTGTCACCTTAAACAAGTAAACAAACTACTTTATTTTAATTCAAATTAAGCATATTTTTTTATCTTATAATTTAAAATATCAATAATACGTTTCATTTTTTAATTATTAATAAAAAAAACATAACATACTTCTTTCATTATAAATAGTTCATTGAAAATTAAAGAAGATCAAAGCTGAAAAGATGTATACATCAATAAAACTAATAGATTACCTTAAATTGAAACTGTAATATTTTTTATAATTTTTGCTATGATATTTAAAGTTTTAATGTTATTATTAAGAAAAAAGATAAAAATTCAAATCCAACCCAAATACATATAGAAATAAAAGTACCCAAAAATTAAAAACATATTCAAACACAATGCAAAGTCACACATTCTTTTCTTATTAAAAAAAACCTTTAAATAATATACATTATTTATTTATTTTTTCTTTATCTACAAATACTTTATTCACAAAACTCTTGCCCTTGCAAAAAGGCACAATGGCATAGGAAAACCATATTTTTTGAATAATATATGATTTTTCTGATTGGGTAGCCCAAACATCGCCCATAATTAAGTGTACACCTATTAATGACGTAACTTAGAATCCAAGGCAAGCCAGTGGATGAAGAGGCGGACGAAATTGCATCGATCATCCAACACGAGCCGTTCATTCATTCATGCATCCATGCATCCGCCCCACCTCTTCGCAATAAGATAAGCATGTAATTAAAGAGGGGCGCACGCGGGCACCCGTGACCGGGGCTGGAGCCAGGCCAGGCAGGGATGGGAACCATGGGAGCCACAGCGGGTGTGGCCAGATTAGCCGTCGCTTGTGTTTTCCATCCGACATCGTTCGTTCTACCGCATACGCGCTGCGCAGGTCGCACCTGTGTAAGTTTAGCGCCCTCACGGCAGGGCTCGCAAGGGAGGAAGAAGACGAAGACGACGACGAAGAAGAAGAGGGGGAAGAAGAGAGTGAGGGGGCTTTATGTGGTATCGCCTGCCGGGATTTTGCTGTCCGTTTCCGCTTCTTTGCACAGTGTCGTAGGGTATCTTCCAGAGCGGTGAAACGATGCCAATGTGTGTGCGCGTTGGAAGGTTTCAGTATCGTTAGACAGTGTTTGGAAGAGTGATAGTTTGGTAGATTTTTTATTTAAATTTTTTTTCATACAGATTTTTGGGTGTCGAGTGTGGGAAGGAAGGATGCTGAGAATCACTTGCTCTGTCATGTCAGGCTCGTGCGATTCAGCGGGCACCCATCTCCCCGAGCTCTGAGACGGTACGTGTCTTGCACTGGAGGTCTAGGGATGGGCGTTGGGCGAGTCTCGATGTGTAGTGTCTCGGTTTCTTGCGATTGCATTATGTTTCCTCGTTCTAGTTAGCGTGGATGGTGGGGCATTCATGTCGGAGTAGTCTTGTCTACTGTTCTCGTTCTCACCACAAGTGTTTGAGGCTTTCAAATACAGAGAGCGCCTAAGTGGACTTGAGCCTAGTTAAGGATTCTCTAGCTTTTTGTCTTCTTGATTGTTTTCCGTACACACGAAAGTACGAAGAGGACCAATGAAAGACGAATGTGAGCTGATACTGCACATCATGGAAGCATGGATGCTCCAGGGGTGCACACTTTGAGCATTGCTCGTCTCCGAGGTTGTGAAATGATCAGGTATGCAAGCTCGATCAAATAGCTTAAGTAGAATGCATTAGACAATGTGTCAAATTGGGCATTGGGAATCGTTGTCTTTGAGTTATTAGACATGTTATTAGCCGACGTGCCGCACCTGACACGACATGCCACTTGTAGGAGAAGTTTTGGAGTGTTGTGTTCGTTGGATGTGCAAAATTGCATTGCCTATCCATTTGATGTTCGTTTGTAGATTCAATTTATCCAATTCCCGCGTCCTTCTCTGTTTGCCTCTTATTTCATCTCTTATGCAACTGGTGCAGGTAACCCCTCCTGCACAATTGATCATTAGATTTCAGATACAGCAGTCTCAACAATCCTTGAATCGGCTAGTGCCTTAGAAGTATGACAATCAAGTACAGAAGGCAGGCTACAGCTACGAGATCCACGAGAACTCAGACCCACACATGGGCCCAGGGGGATAGATTGGCAGATGACGGGGATGTTGATGTCTTTGATGATGAGTGCAAAGAAACATTTATAACTAAGAGTGACGTATCTCTGGCCACGGTCGCTACATCTGGAGCGCGTAGGCAAAGCGTTTCGGGTAGCTCGGTTGTAAAAAATATGGTTGCAGAAACTTCGGACAGGGGTGAAAAAATTGCGAGACAATTCACCTTAGGTATCTTAACTAAGTTCTCGCAACTCCGCCAGAAATTGCAACGAGACCATTGGGATATGATTACATCAACGAACACCACGAAATTTGCTGTGATAGCAGGGTCCAAGATGCTGGAGCTCAAATGGTACCACGACTTCAATGACGTGGGTCATGTTCCCGGCGTACGAGTCGGTGACTGGTACTCGTATACATACGAGCTTCTTCTAATTGGCTTGCATAGACATCTCCGAGGCAACATATGCCACCTTTCCTCTACTTCAGAACTGTCGAAAACCAAGTACAAGAATCTAAGCGTTGTATGCAGCATTGTTATTGGCGAAAACGACCATGTGTCTGGCGATTCACTCCTTTTCATCGGTCAAGGCGGAAAACAGAAGCAGTCGAGGGCAGAAACTGGTAACCTTGCCATGATGAATTCGTGCAACTTGTCCCTGCCTGTGCGAGTCATAAGACGGGAGAAAGATATGGGCAGCACCACTGGCCAGAGACTTACTTATTATGGGCTGTACAAAGTGCTGAAATTTATTCTAGATACAGGCATCCATGGCCATTCTGTATACAAGTTTTTCCTTCAGAGAGAGGGGGGGCAACCGAGCTTGGAGTCTTTCTTACCGAAGCCATTTACTAAGCCAGATCCTTCATCTTCTCCTGGCGTATTGTTGACACCTGATATTTCCGAGGGTGTGGAGCAGACTCCAGTTCGTGTTGTGAATGGAGTGGACGTCAACGCTCCGGATACTTTCCATTACATCACCACTGTTGTCTATCCACACAGGGACGTCCCGGTTCAAATCCAGGCCTGTGAATGCCACTTTGGCTGCGAGGATGGCATTTGCCCTTGTGTGAAGAAAAACAGTGGTGGTGTGCTGGCTTACAACGATGATGGTCACCTCATTCGAGTGCGCAACATTGTGTATGAGTGTGGGAGTTTTTGCAACTGCAGCCATGCCGCTTGCCGAAATAGAGTGAGCCAAAAGGGGTTAAAATGGCACTTGGAAATATTCAGGACGATGTCAAAGGGGTGGGGTGTTCGCACTTTAGAGTTCATCCCCTCCGGCAGCTTTTTGTGTGAACTTACTGGGGAGCTACTCACAGCAACCGCTGCAGCTGATAGAGAAAACGATGAATATCTCTTCAACCTTGACTTTCATAAAAATGCTCGGGGACGCGGTAAACCTTCAAAGTCAAAGCGACAGGCTTTGGTTGAGGAGCTATCGGCGCACTATGTAATTGATTGTAGATTAAGTGGGAATGTTGCGAGGTTCATCAATCACAGCTGTAACCCGAATCTATTTGTGCAAGGCGTACTTCACGACCATGGTGACTTGAATCGAGGCCACATTATGCTGTTTGCAGGGGAAGACATAGCTGCTGGAACCGAGCTTGCTTATGATTATGGTTACGAGCTGAATTCTGTTCGTGACATCCATGGGAATGTGGTTGCAAAGCAGTGCCTTTGTGGCGTAAGTATATGCAGGAAAAGGATGTATTGACCTCAGAGCTTTTCAAATGCCTCGATCCCTTGTACATTAGGTCGATGTTTGTGGATACGGCAGTTTCATTCTGGAGTCCTGAACTTGGGCATGAGCAATTCTTTGGTTTACAACAGCCTTGGACTCTGATGTATATCCCTCACTGTCTGGGTTAAGATTATTTAGATTGAAGGATCAGAAATATACTACGGAAACAGGTGCTCCATCAACCAACAAGTTCGAAGAATGGAAATCCCGTAGTGCTAAAAATTCTTCTTTTTTTAAATCGGGGCTAGATCACTTTAGAATTTGTTAACTCTAGCTCAAAACTTTTGAAACCTAGGTTCAAAACCCTCGCCTTTGGCATGGATCGCTCATGTCAACTGCATGGCACGTTTTAGTCCAAGCTTCTTTGATGAGGTTTTACGGAACTCAGGTCCAATTGATTATAAACTCACAGGTTACTAACACCAGGTACGCTAGATTGTAACGGTTGAATCCACAACTGTTGGGAACCCTAAAATCGTTTCTCGCTTAGGGGAGTAGTGGTTTTCAACAGCTGTACTTCCACAACCCACAATCAATAACATTCTTCTTTCACTCCTTCTAGGGTCAACAACAATTGCTTCAAAACTATCTAGATGAGTGTATAACATGCAACATTAATTCTGATTAACGGGGAGAAATTTGGACACTAGTGGCCCATGGTTGGAGATTATGGAGTTCAAAATGGTCGACTGGTTGGTGGGTTGTTCGCTTGGTTAGAATTTTCACTTGTATGTGTATTCCAACCTTATTGTACGAGTTATTGTAATAGAATAAGTGTGTAATGTATATGTTGGAATTGTGTTTAAAAGTATCTTGTTTTTTTCACTTTCTGAATTCATTTTCATTCCCCCTTTTATTTATTTATTTATTTTAAATTTTTGACTGTGTTAAAATTTAGTTTAGATAATACCATTATTTTAATAAGTTACCGAATCAACATCGCAAGGAAGCATTAAAAGAATTTGAACATGGTAAATATCCAAGGTCCTTCAATAGTTCTTGATCACTCAATGATGAGAATTCGGGTAAATATTTTCGTTTTTCTTCTTCAATGAAATTCATGAAAGAAGATTTAAGAAAAGTTGTGTTACATAAACATGTACTTCAGTTTTTGATAGTTCCCTTTGATTATTGTAGCTTGCCTCTAACACAATCTGTCTAATATTGAATAAAATGCTTTTAAATATTAATTAAGTTCAAAAAACAATAAAATGGTATAGTATATATTTACATACATGCATAATTGTCTACCATGTTCAAAATACACTGTTTAAAAAACATTTAATAAATTTACAGATGAAAGCTAATAGAAATGATTAATTAGATGTGTGTGTGTATATATATATTCGTCTTCCAAACTACATTATATTCTCTTCTTATTGTTTAATTAATGTACATTTTAAAACTATGTTTTATATCTTATATTTAATACAACAAATAAAGCTCCAATTCAATCCAATTGAGTTGCAAAATCTTCGTCAACAAATTGATATTCACCATTAGTTTTAAAATTAAAAATACACATAAACGTATTTCTACCTGTACAAATTAAAATGACAATAAACACATAAATTATAGTAATAAAAAGACTATAAAAACCTAGCAATTTAAAATAATAAAGTGTTGCCAAGTATTAGAATATATATATATATATATATATATATATTAAATACTTTTAATTTTTAAATACTAATGATTTGTTTCATTTCAAGTTTAATTGAATTGAAAATTTAAAGCTATGTATTTAGTTATTTAGAATATACATGACATGCATGGTGACGAATACTTTTTTTCTACTTGGGAAACTGAAGTGACAACCATGGTAGATTAAGTGTAAATGAAATGTGCTTGTAAATGGTTTCGAGAATGAAAATAACTATGATGAGTATGCACAAAATATCTTTGAGACCAAATTGGTGTCATAGAGTAGGACACATTTATTATTTTGCCATAATAATTGTTGTTAACTTTTTGAAAATAAAGTGATAGGAAAGATGTCTTTTTGAACTAAGTTAGAATTTTATCATCTAAAGATGGTTTGATGAGTTTGTGTAGTTTGTGGATGTGAATGGTGTTGAGTGATTTTAAATCTATTATAATGATTTAATTTTCATGTCAAATTGTTATTGCTCTTGGATTGAGATTGTTCTATTGTGGTTGCAAACATGATTTATAGCTAGTAATTCTTTGTAGGAACCTCATCAATAGTTGTTTCAAATGTTTTGAGTCTACATTCTGAATTTTTTATTTATTCATTTGTTTATTTATGAGCATACACAATATAACTTATGTTAAATAAGTTTATGATTAATAGCAATCAGATTTGATGAAAAAATATGGTTACACATAATAAATTGGTGTAACTACAATAATTGGCACAAATATGTTATAATGGATGTACTAAACAGATATTAATATTTGCATCCTTTGGAAATTAGAGTTAATTTTGACTTGGAAAAAAGTTGACCAATATACATATATATATATATATATATATAATTCTATGAAATATGTAGTCTCTCTAGCAAATAATTTGGTAGAAATTGAAAGCAATTAATAAACTTTGTGGATCCAAGAAAATGTCAACAAAAACACCCTCAACCACCCATTTTTTTTATCATTAATATATTAATAAGAATTTTTTAGCAACATAAAATAATTTTCAACATGAAATGATGTAACAATCAAAATAGAAATGATTTAAACTTCAATAAAACCTGAAAAAATATTAACATTGTCACTAAAGGTGAAATCCAAAGGGAAAGAGAAAAAAAAGAAAAAGAAAAAGAATAAAACTTGACTATGAAAGCATTTCAATCGTAAATTATTGGCGAAGAATATGACAGAATTGCTCAACTTTTTCCCCAAAACCTATGCCTGCTAACATTGAACGAACCTTTAATAAATCCTTCAATAAAATTTCTCAGATTTATTTATTTTTATCAAACACAATTTTTTTATTGTAAAATCTCGTTGTAATTATTTTGAAACCTTCCTGTCCAACTCAGCTTTTTATTCTTCCAATGCCACGTCAACCTGGAGGCCAAGTCGGCGACCGCCTTCGACTACTGGTCGCCGAAATTTCGATAATAGGGACATTCGTCCCCCTGCACCGGCCAATGGTCGGCCAAGGATCTGAGCTCAAGAACCCTGAAGCCTGGACGTGGCTCCGTGTGTTTGTGGCCCTGGATCGGGAGGTATCCGAAAATTTGACCGACTTTGAATTTGTGCAGGAAGTTCCCCTTCGTATTCGTGCTTGATTGCGGCGTCTGGCGTAATATTCTTTTGTGGGTCGCAATCTAGCGAGCCAAAATCTGTCGAAGACGGACTCGGGACGGGGTTGTTTGAAGAATTGGGGCAGGAAGCGGGAGCGGAACAAAGATTGATGATGCGCGGAGCGGGGAATATGCAGGGGCGAGGGATTTGTCTGTTGGGTTCTTTGTGAGTTTCTCGTCTGCGCGATAGGGTCGGTGATGAAGTAGCCTGGAGGAGAAAATTTGGTTTCGAGAGGTCGCGGCATCGATTTAGAGGCTTTTGAGAAGCTGGGGTTGGGAACAGAGGGGTGAGGGTTCTCGCTTGGTTTCTGGAGTCCAGGAATTGAAGGGATTTTTTTGTTTTACTGGTTGGAAGAAGCCAAATCGCGCGCGACCGAGTGTATCTGCAAGAAGGTGAAGTAGTTGAAGTCTGATACGATGTCATCGCAAAGGTCGGCAGCGGTGGCGCGCCGGCTGCGTCGCAATATCGTAAGTTTTAGTGCCGCTGGTGTTCATCGTTGTCTCTATGGCACTGAATTTGACTTGTGGTTTCTTGATTATGCATAGGGGTTTTCCTATGAACCCTAGTTTTGTCTGTATACGACATTTTGGACAGAGGAGGTGCTCAACTTCTGCCTCTCCTGATTTGTTCTCTCTCTCTCTCTCTCTCTCTCTCTCTCACAAGGGTTTATTCCGTTGATCGTACGTTTGTAGTTTCAAGTATGTGGAAATTCTTCGAGTTTTATCCTCTTGGGATGCGAGTTGTTACCTTAGCATCTAACGTCGTGTTCTTTTTGACGTTCAGCAGGAGGTTTTGACGAATCAGGTTACTTCTAGCGCCCAAGGGCACAGGAATGTCAATAGCTTGGGGCACAACAAGGCATTCTTATCTTCAGGCAGTGTAGGGCAAAATGCATCTAGAAGATGGCTTCAAAGCCTTGGATTGTTGAGACCAGGAACTGCCGATGGGGCAGTTACTAGAAAAGCGTTTGATAGGTTTGGCACCTCTCGACGAGGCATTCATGAAATTGCAAGAAGAGTTGGAAGCGGTAGTGCTCGAAGGGTTTTGCTTCAGAACATTGGAAGCAAGAGAGCGTTTTGTTCTGAAACCCCTAAGAAGAAAGGTGATCAATCATGAATTCAACCTTTGTGTACCGCTTATCAATACTTGTTTCGGAAGAGCATACCTTCATCTTTCATGCTCCCATGTGTAGAATTATGCGGGGATTTTGAGGGTATTTCCTTAGTTCTGGTAGAGACTTCTCGGCAAATGAGGAACCACACTCCATCCTTTTCATGAGAACTGAGAAACTATAGCCAATTTCAGTAGACTTGAAGTGTTTATCTTCATATTTCCAATGAAGATGTCAGATTACGCTGAGAAGTTTTGCATGTCCATATTCGATTTTTTTCGCAAGTGTTGAAAGTTTGTCTACGCAGGTTTCGAGAATTATTATCCAAAGAACAGAAAGGATCTTCCCAAAGGTCGGAATGAGCAGAAGTCCGAGCGGAAAGGAGGTGAGCTTCATTAAGATGCTCAGGAAGTAAAGCATTCTAGAGATAGTTGTAGCGAAATGGAAGTTTGAGATTATTTTGCAGTTTGGAGACTTCTGTCTTGTTGTCTCACGCACTAAATGCTGCAGAGCATGATTCGAAGCAAGAAGGCGATAAGTATTTCACAGAGACCTCTAAGTCGCAAATGCAGTCCCTTATCGCCACTGGTGCTGCAACAGTGGCCATTCTTACCACTCTTTCTATGGGCCGTAGTGATGCTCAGCAGGTACTAAATTATTCTTCACTGCCAGTTCTTGGTGTTTTCGTACTTTCAGCTATTACGAAGTACTGCCGATGTCGTCACAAAGTTAATGGTGTTGCTGTGTATGGGTTTTTTCGAGGGTAACACAACATGTGCTATTGTTTTTTGAGGTTAAGCTTGTTTCTTATTGTATGAATTTTTGAAATCTAGTTGTTACAGTAAGCGTGTTTCTATTTTTATAGCATAAATTTCTTTCCTTCTGCGTTTGAGAGTTGTGACCTAGGCTAAGTTTACGTTGGTGGCAATTTTGAAGCAGATTAGCTTTCAGGAGTTTAAGAACAAATTGCTGGAACCAGGCCTAGTTGACAGAATTGAGGTCGCCAACAAAAGCCTGGCTAAAGTCTACGTGTATACAGGTGATACAGACAGTCTTTTTTAGATTAAAGCAGGTGCATCGTTCTTTTATGACCTAATACCAAATAAGGGCTTGAATAGGCCTTTTTCAGGCTGCTCAGCAGTTCGTGTTTTGTTTCTCTTTTATTGTAGTATCAGAGTGCTTCATTGTAGCCAGTAAACAACAGAACCAGTTGCTATAAATTAATTCGGAACTTCTGTTACTATAGCCGTCTAAGTTGTTGTCTGTACAGGTTCACAGCAGGGTGCTGAAGCAAGAGTAAATAAAGGTGGTAACATTGATGGAAATATGGATGACGTGCAGACTGATTCGCGACCACAACCTGGGCACTCGAACTCTGTGTATAAGTATTACTTCAACATTGGAAGTATTGACTCATTTGAGCGTAAGCTAGAAGATGCACAGGATGCGTTAAACGCTGATCCTCGTGATTACATTCCTGTTACATACGTGTCAGAGATGAGCTGGCAACAGGAGCTTTTGCGTTTGGCTCCTACTATATTGTTAATAGCTGGCTATATCTATTTCTCACGGCGTATGCAAGGCGGTTTTGGAGTGGGTGGAGGAGGTGGTGGTATGGGTGGGCGTGGAATATTCAATGTTGGAAAAGCCCAAGTGACTAAGCTCAGCAAGAAACAGAAGGATAAGGTTTGTCTTTCTGCAGAACTAATTTAAGCTTTATTGCAACTTACTTACCTATCTAGAGGACCTTATCTTAGTATCAGACTTCATGTTCTTTAGTCTTGCACAGGGTTAGGATGAGAGATGCTGTTCCATGATGGTGAGCTATTTGCCAATAATGAAGACGTACTAGGGGTAGAGTTTTGTTTTTGATGTATCTGTTGTGTCATTACAGGTTATGTTCAAAGATGTTGCCGGTTGTGACGAGGCAAAACAAGAGATTATGGAGTTCGTTCACTTTTTGAAGAACCCCAAGAAGTACCAAGAACTTGGTGCTAAAATTCCAAAGGGAGCTCTTTTGGTTGGTCCACCTGGTACTGGAAAGACTTTGTTGGCGAAGGCAACGGCCGGAGAAGCTGGAGTACCATTTCTTTCAATCAGTGGATCGGATTTCATGGAGATGTTTGTAGGGGTCGGTCCTTCTCGAGTCCGTGATTTGTTTGCTCAAGCAAGACAGTCTAGTCCTAGCATCATTTTCATAGATGAGATCGATGCAATTGGACGTGCTCGAGGACGAGGCGGGTTTGCAGGAGCCAATGATGAGCGTGAAAGTACCCTTAACCAGCTTCTAGTTGAAATGGATGGTTTTGGCACAACTACTGGTGTCGTAGTTCTCGCAGGAACGAACAGACCTGACATTTTAGATAAGGCTTTGTTGCGTCCTGGACGATTTGATCGACAAATTTCGATCGATCGACCTGACATTAATGGGAGAGAGCAGATTTTCCGGATATACCTTGAGAAGCTAAAACTGGATCAAGATCCTATTTATTATTCTCAACGGATGGCAGCATTAACCCCTGGGTTTGCAGGTGCTGATATTGCAAATGTCTGTAATGAAGCTGCACTGATTTGTGCTAGAAACGAAAAATCAGTGATTACCATGGACCATTTTGAAGCTGCTATTGATAGGATCATTGGTGGCCTAGAGAAAAAGAAGCGGGTATGTGTTGCCGTTTAGGCCTTGAGTTGGATTTTGGTGCTTTGTGTGGGACCTCTCTCTGTATCTGGTTTTGCACAGCCTTGATTCGTAACCAAGTAAATTGGATTGGCCTGGGGGTTTTGCTTGGGCTGAAGCTGCTCATACATGCAGTACTTAATTTGTGATGCTTCTGATTTACCAGGTAATTAGCAAGGAAGAAAGGAGAACAGTGGCATATCATGAAGCTGGCCATGCTGTCTCGGGCTGGTTTTTAGAGCATGCTGAGCCATTGCTTAAAGTGTCAATTGTACCACGTGGTACTGCTGCTTTAGGTTTTGCTCAATATTTACCGAACGAGAATCTGCTCATGACAAAGGAGCAACTTTTGGATATGACATGTATGACACTTGGAGGTCGTGCTGCGGAGCAGGTATTGGACGAGTCTTTTTTTTTTTTTTTTTTTTTTTTTTTTCTTTTCTTTGCTTCTTTTTGTCTTGGGTATCCTCTCTTGAAGAGGGTTGCTGTGTCTCTTGAGAAGCTTAGTCTGGCTGGTGTCATTCTATATGATAGTGCCCTGGATTTGGTCACTTATTAATTTACTTGCAATAAGAAGAGAATGAAAGTCCTCTTCATTACTCTGGATCTGATTGTTTTAAGTCTTGTTTTTTAACATTGATTATTTATTTATTTGTGTTACTTCACACAGGTATTGATAGGCAAAATATCGACAGGGGCGCAGAATGATTTAGAGAAAGTGACGAAAATGACATACGCCCAAGTCGCAGTTTATGGGTTTAGTGATAAAGTTGGTCTCCTCTCGTTTCCACCTAAGGACGACGGGTTTGAAATGTCAAAGCCTTATAGCAATGAAACAGGCGAAATCATTGACCAGGAGGTCCGAGACTGGGTGGCCTCGGCGTATGCTAGAACACTGGCCTTAATCACAGAGCACAAAGCAGGTGTTGAAGCTCTTGCCCTCAAGCTTTTGGAGAAGGAGGTATTGCATCAGGAAGATCTAGTGGCCATTTTGGGTGAAAGGCCATTCAAAAATGCAGAGCTTTCAAATTATGACAAATTTAAGCTTGGTTTTGCACCTTCTCGAGAAGACCAGGCTAAGCTAGGCTCATCGCAGCCGTCTGAGGATGGCATTTCCCCGGAGCAACCGTCATCAACTCCTCCAACCCCTTCAGGTTTAGATGGGTCCCAGCCTGTTCCCGCTATACTGTGAAGAAAATACTTAACAAGAGCTGTAGTTCATATAAACTTACAATGCGACTGGCCCGTTCAGCAATTGTAGGGTTTAGAGATTTTAGGTCTGATAAGTGTCTCTCAACGTTGAAGGTAGTGAATATCATGCTGCATGAAGCTCCTAATTGCACAGTATCCTTCTGTTGGACCTTGTTGCTCGATTTCGAAGGTGGAGGAAGGGTGTATTTTGCTAGAAGCCTTCCTGATGCCCACCAGATTTATTTCTCATGCTCTGCCATTCTGTAGAGCCTTTTATGGACTTCATACATTTAGGGTTAGTCGTTGGATCAAGATCTCTCGAAATCAGAAATTATTTATCTGCTTGGCTTGCTCATCTGGATAGCTTGACAGATGTAATCTGTGACGAGAAAGCTTGTAGATTAGCTCAAGTTTATGTTAGGGGTTAGGGATTCGAAGCATTTGAGCCTCATACGGTAGGTCTTGCTGATAATACTTGAAAATCCTGTTAGAATATTAAGCTTTTTTAGAGCTTTTTTCGTAACCATGTTTAAGAACTGGAATGAGGAGCTTTGTTCAATGCAAGCGAACGGAGTTTGTCCTCAACGTTTCCAGCGGTTCTGCAACAGCGAGTACGCGGTGACCCTGTGTTGATTATAATCAATGATGCACTGGTTAGAGTCCTGCATTAGAGAAGTGTCAATATTGTTTGAGATTTCAGGTTTGCTTCTCTGTGAGTTACATCCTCGATTGTGTTGTATGTTTGTACTCAGATTGCTAACTTTGTTTTATTCCCTCACACAGTCTGCAGCAGTGAACATTACAAACGCTTTGGATAGTGAACATTGCAGGTCATGTTACCCCTTAAATGTACGAGGCACTCGGAGCTCTTCCATAATATGGCGGCTGCACCCCGAGCAGTATCATGCAGAAGCTCGGAGTGGCAGATGCGGCGGCTGTGCAGTCATTCAACAGATTGCGAACTTGGTGGTGTACATGATGATAATGCATCAAGTTGAAAATAATACACTTATAATCACATTTAAAGTAAAGAACTGAAAGTGTGCTAACGGAAGGTTGATCTTAGGGGAATGTGATGGCAGGCAAGATTATGATGAACAACAGTTTTCTGTAACCGAGCTTCTTGGAATTCTTCGAAGGCTTTCATGCTACAGTTCCTGGTGTATTGAATCTTTTTGGCAACTTTTCCTAGTTTTTGGCCTTAGATTATGGGATGTGAACATGTTGAATTGAATCACTTGGTTTTTAATTCACGCTCTACAAAAGGCTATGCATGAATCCAGCCGTGGTTGTGTACTTGTTGCTACTTTGTTTCGGTTTATTGAATTACTCAGTATTTTCAATGTGGTAATCCAAAATTTATAATTTGCAATTGTAGCGTGGCAACTGGTTCTTCATTTATGTAAATTAGACCATAGTCATTACAAATATAAGTTTGGATTTGGCAAGAGATATATTTTATTTGAAATTGCGATTGAGTAATGTCATGCAAAAGAACTTTATTGTTTAACTAACTCAAATTAATTAAGTTTTGTTGCAAAATATAAAACTTGTGATTTTGACCTGATGCTATTTTATTGATAAAGCTCTAACGTAATGTCACGTTAATATGAAAATGTCAAAGTTAAAAGCTTTGATTTTGAAGTAAGTTTTGGTTTTTATATCTATATCTATATATACATATAGATACAAACAAACATTTATATATGCATGAAAAATAAAAGTTAATTCATCCAATATGTTTGAAAGTAATCCAAATCTTGTTCAAGAGTCATTGTAGGATTTTTTTTGGAAATAAAATTATCATATAACAAAATCATAGCATGTTGTAGAATAATTGTCTATGTGCCTTCTTTACCTTATATCTTAATATGGCAATAATCATATTCTTACATTATTTTTTCTTCACCATATTTATTTTTTAACACTACTATCACAATGCTTACAATTTGCCTTTATTGGAACTTAATAGACTTTTAAAAAAACATCTAAGAATATTTTCTAGATTTTTTAAATCATTTCTTGCAGACATTTGTAGATTGCACTATAACCTCCTTTGTGGCGTTGAAAAAAATCCATGTTACCTTTTAGGTTTTGCATAAAATCCAAATGTTTGGACCAAAGATTTACAAAAAAGAAAATACATGCTCTTTTACCTTAAAACAACCAAAATGGTGTCATTTTTTCTAGGTGGCTTTAAAACTCCTCAAGACACTATTACAGTAGTTATAGTAATCCTGTGAGACACTATTATGTTTCCAAAACCCATATGAAGTTTTGTAATAACATTCTATATAATGACATGATAAAATATTAATAAAAATAACACGTACACACATAAATATATATATATATATATATATATATATATATTAGAATTGCCAATATCATACAATTGATGCTATTATTAATCACTTATTGATGATATTATGCATTAAATTTTATATTTCTTTTCCACACATAAAATAAGAAACATGTTTTTGTTTATATCATACTCTTTTCTTATATTATACCTTTTGGAGAGTTCAAAACTGTCACAGACATACACATGTAAGCCAATAATTACACGTATAAATAGATAGAAGTAAATAAAAGTAGGTAAAAGTAAGTTAATTCTATAGTATTTGATATGGAAGCTTCTTAGAAGCTTTACAGATGTTGCTTTGACTTTATAGATGTCTTTAATTGACTTTTTGGGATTAAAAACGTCGTCAACAAGTTGGCCATGTGCCATACATTTTGTTAGCTTGAAGACCAAGCTAACTATGTGGCCCATATGTAAAAAAACTTGCCTTGTAAATCAAGGCATGTGTCTTACAAAGTCAATACATATTGGAGGTCCTATAGAACGTCGCCACGTAGCCCCTAGTTAGATAGTATATATAGAGACAAGAGTGAAGCATTCTTCACTCTTATTAACTCCTTTCTTGTTTCCAGTCTAGTTTCGAGGGTCTCTAGTTTTCTTGTCTTTTGGCAATAGCCATTCCAATTTCTTTCTTAATATATATATCAAGTTATTTCTATTTTGTCATCTTTCTTTGAGAGAAGTCTCACTTGTTTATTTGTATTTATCATGTTCTTGTCCTTGACAGATTGATAAGAATACACTTACAATATCAAAGCTTTGTCTAATCTTGATGAAGAATGGATTACCTCTTTTTCTTGATAAGACATAAGCATATTAGAAGTTGCGGATTACCCTCTTTTCAACTAATATTGTCCTTAGTATTTTCTTTGTTTTCAAATCTTCTCTTTTATTTGTCTTGAGCGATATTAGACAACTTCTCTTTTCTAAGTGTTATCATGGTAGAACTTGCTAAAATAAAGAGTGCAATGGCACAAATTCAAGAGCAATTGAAGGAGTTAATACTTGCAATGCATCAACTCAATCTACCACCACAAGGAGCAACAAGATTGGCAGGAAGTGAAGATATAGAAATGATTGGAGTTGCTTCAACATCTGTACCAAATCATGTCCCTTCTCCTATGGTGGAACGCCCTTCCAATGTTAGAGAACGAAGAATTGCCCTATTTGAGAAGTTTGATGGCACCAGATCAAAGTTTAGAGGATTTATCAATCAAGTACAACTTGTGATTGAACTTCAATCCCAAAGCTATCCAATTCCAGGATCACAAGTTAAATTCATTGGTACGCTTCTTTCAAGTTCAATATTATCATGATTTTCATCTTTTCTTGAATGACGAGATCCAATATTGGATAATCTGGAGGCTTTTTTGGTAGAGTTTTGATCCATGTATAGAGAACTTGATGCAATTCATGTTGCAACCAATAAGATTCGTATTTTATGACAAAGCAATCGATCAGTAATGTTGCATGCTTTACAATTTTGACAACTTGCAACTGATACCAAGTGGAATGTTGTTGCACTTTTTAGCCAATTTCTCTACGGATTACAATATGAGGTAAAAAATTAATGCTCAACTTACTTGATCCTCAAACATTGAGTCAAGCAATTGACTTTGCTGTGAAATATGACAATCTTATTTTTAAATTTCGATGTGAGAATCGTACAAGTGGACTTCAACGTAACTATAATTCAATAGCAACACCAACATCTCTTCAATACATACATTCGGAAGTAGAGGATATGCAAATTGATGTAGTATGTTTCAAACCTCTTATTGAGCAAGAAAAGACTCGTCATCATCAAGAAGGATTGTGCTTATATTGTGGAGAACCTAAGCACACTACTCAACATTGCCCAAGGAAGCAACGCAACCATAAAATGAGGAGTATGGCGATCAAAGGAGATAGCATGTCAAAAAATGAATTTGTCCAGCTAGAATAGAGACCATGTAGCTGGAACCTTGTACAATGCCTAGTGAAGGTCCTATCCTCTCCTCAGAACCCTCTCTATGTTTTACAATAAATGTTATTCTAGGACTTAAACATCTCAAAGCCTCTACCTTATTAGATTTAGGAGCCTCAACATGTTTCTTAGATGAAAAATTTGCTAAAAGATATAGCATATTTTTAGTAAAGAAAACTAAACCTATTCATATAGAAGTCATAGATGGTCGTCCATTGTCTTTAAAAGATGTTACTCATGAAATCCTTCCTATAGAAATAGCAACTAATGGTTACAGTAGCTTTATAATATTTAATATCATTAGATCTCCTTCTAATCCAACCATTTTAGGTTTATCATGGCTAAAAAAATATAACCCTAAAATAGATTGGACTTCTCCTAGTCTTGACTTTTTTGAAAGTATAACTAAGAGTGTAGTTAATCAAGTAGAAAGTCATAAGTCTAGTATAATTAAACCTATATTTGTAGGTGCAAGTGCTTTCTTATATGCTGCAAAAAAAGGATCACCTTGTATCATTTATGCCACACCTGTTTCTACTGGTAGAAAGACTTCAAGTGGCATTCCAAACCAATATCAAGATTTTTAAGATGTATTATAGAAAAAGAATGCGGATACTCCTCCAAAATATCGTTCGTATGACTGTTCAATTGACCTTCAAGAAGGAGCACAACCGCCATTTGTACCAATCTACAATTTACCTCAAAATGAGTTGGATGAACTCAAGGAGTATATTAAAGAGAATTTGGCCAAGAACTTCATACGCCATTCCAAATCTCCAACAAAAGCTCCAATTTTATTTGTGAAGAATAAAGATGGATCATTGCGGATGTGTCTTGATTATCGAGGATTCAACAAAATCACTATAAAAAATAAGTACCCACTACCTTTGATATTTGGACTTCTTGATCAGTTGAATCAAGCTAAGATCTATACAAAAATAGATCTACGGAGAACATACAATCTGATATGCATCAAAGAAGGAGATGAATGGAAGACTACGTTTCGAACAAGGTATGGATATTTCGAATACAACATCATGCCTTTTGGACTTACAAATGCACCAGCAACATTCCAACATCTAATGAATGATGTCTTTCGGGAGTTTTTAGATGATTTTGTTGTCTGTTACCTAGACGACATCTTAATCTATTCTAAGAACCTAGAAGAACATGAACTTCATGTTCGCCAAGTATTACAAAAACTAAGAGATGCAAGACTCTATGCCCAGATAGAAAAGTGTATATTTCATACCACTCAAGTCGACTTTTAGGATACATCATTTCAAATGATGAACTTATGATGGATCCTAAGAAAGTTCAAACTATTATGGATTGAAAGATCTCCAAAATGGTAAGAGATATCCATTGCTTTTTGGAATTTGCCAACTACTATCGGATCTTCATCAAAGACTTCTCTCAAGTTGCAGCTTCACTTACACGTTTGACTTGTAAAGACAAACTTCAATGGAATCAAGAAGCAGAAGTAGCATTTGAAGCTTTGAAGACATCGTTTGTTTTTGCACCAATCTTGTATCGCGTTGATTTTTCTAAGCCATTTTTTATGGAAACAGATGCATCAGACTTTGCTTTGGGTGTCGTATTGTCATAAATGGGAACAGATGATAAACTTCACCCATTAGCTTTTCATTCCAAAAAATTTTCAGTAATCGAGATCAACTACGAGATCCATGACAAAGAACTTCTTGTAATCGTGGATTCGTTTCAAGAATGGCGCCATTATCTAGAAGGTGCTTCTAGCCCCGTCACAATATATACTGATCACAAGAACCTTGAATATTTTATGTCAACACATGTTTTGAATCGTTGCCAAGCCCGTTGAAATATGTCTTTGTCAAGATTCGAATTCAAGATTACTTATCGACCAAGAAAACAACAAGGTTTGTCAAATGTACTTTCTAAACGATTTTATCTTGTACCAAAGGAAGGAGATGCTGCTTTTGACCAACAACAAATATTTCTCTTGAAGCGAGAGCATCTTCATCTTCAAGCAATGAAATGAACACTAACTATTGATTCAAATTTCATTAAGCAAGTTCAGTCAAGTATGTCTTCTGATCCTCTTATTCGTGATGTTAAGGAAAATCCTTCAAAGTCTTATGATACTTCCAAGTTTGAATTCAAAAAGAATCTACTATATTTTGAGGGACGCCTATATGTTCCAGAAGGTGAAGCTCGATTATGTGTTCTTCAAGCTTGTCATGACTTTCCAGCAACAAGACATTTTGGGTACAACAAGACTTTGGAACTAATATCCAGGGACTTTTGGTGGCGACAAATGTGGAAAGCAATCAAAGATTTTATACAATCTTGTGATGTTTGCTCGAGATCAAAAAGTCCTCGTCATTGACCTTACAGACTTCTTCAGCCATTATCCATTCCAAAACAACCATGGTCTTTTATTTCTATGGATTTCATCACTAATCTTCCAATCTCAGGTTCTTATGACTCTATATTCGTGATAGTAGATCGTTTTACCAAGATGGCACATTTTGTACCATGTACAAAATCTATCACAAGTGAAGAAACAGCTAAGGTCTTTCTTGATAATATCTATTGCCATCATGGATTACCTAAGGATATTATATCAGATAAGGGAACTCAATTTGTATCAAGATTTTGGCGGACTCTTTTCAAGATTCTAAAAGTGGATATAAAACTATCTTCGGCATTCCATCCTCAAACTGATGGACAAACGGAGCGTGTTAATTAAGTTTTGGAGCAGTATTTAAGATGTACCATCAACTACCAACAAGATGATTGGACAACTCTTTTGCCATTGGCAGAGTTTGCTTAAAATAATACGGTACATTCTTCTACAAAACAAACACCTTTCTTTGTTAATTATGGTTATCATCCATGACTTGATACTTTTGACTTTTCAAAAGTTGATAATCCTGCTGCGAAAGATTTGACAATTCATTTGTCAAAGCTACATGCAACGATGCAGGCGAAGTTAAAAGAAACTCAAGAATAACAAAAGGTCAATGCGGATGTCTATCGAAAGGAACAACCACTATTCCACATGGGTGATAAGGTATGGTTATTTCGTCGTAATATCAAGACCACTCATCATTGTGACAAGTTGGACTATCAAAGGCTTAGACCATTTTCTATTTCTGTACAAATCAATCCAGTTGCATATCGTTTACATCTATTGAAATCAATAAAAATCCATCTAATATTCTACGTGTCTCTTCTTGAACCATACAAGACAATGGACATACCAAGAAGAAGATAAGCTCCACCTCCTTCTATAGAAGTGGATAATAATGAAGAGTTTAAAGTGGAAGAAGCCTTAGATTCAAGGCAACATTGAAATAAATTGGAATATCTTGTCCATTGGCGCGGATATGATATTAGTGAATGCACATGGGAGCCAATAAAGAATCTTATAAATGCAGCAAAGGCACTGGAGGCTTTTCATCGACGACATCTATCAAAATCAAGATGAAAACCTTCTTTATAAAAAAAACAAGATCTAGGCAAGATAACATTTTACTTTCAATCCTTGTTTGTAGCTTCTTTGTAGTTGTGACGCTCAGGAGATGGAGAACCAATATCCAGCGGATTCGACTCAAGAATCTTCATTTTTTGATCTATCGGACGAGACATTACGATTGTCACAACCTTCAAGATGATGCAATCGAGATGAAGATCTTCAAGAACGACATGTTCTTCCTCAAATAGATAGCAAAATATAATGCATTTGGTATCACGACCTTGGAAGGGACTCCCGATGTTTGGTGATTTTACTAGAAGTAGGAACAACTCCTAATGGTGTTTCAAATGTTTTATTCAAAGGAAGTTATGAAGGTCTCAACAATGATCAAATAACTAGGTGGTCTTCCCGCCGTGGTATGGGATACTATCGATGGTTGAGAGGTCCTATCAATCATCTTCGAAGAGAACAAAGATCAGAGTATGTGGCGAATATAATTTGTCGCATCATAGATTTCCGCAATATATGATTATCACTCCTCGTGGAACTCGTCCCTAAAAGGGGGGGGGGTAATATCACGGACATACACATGTAAGCCAATAATTACATGTATAAATAGATAGAAGTAAGTAAAAATAGATAAAAGTAAATTAATTCTATAATATTTGGTATGGAAGCTTCTTAAAAACTTTATAGATGCTGCTTTGACTTTATAGGTGTCTTTAATTGACTTTTTGGGATTAGAAACGTGGTCAACAAGTTGGCCATGTGCCACACATGTTGTTAGCTTGAAGACCAATCTAACTATATAGCCGACATGTAAAAAAACTTGCCTTGTAAGTCAAGGTATGTGTCCTATAAAGTCAATACATATTAAAGGTCTTATAGAACATCGCTACGTAGCCCCTAATTAGATAGTATATATAGAGACAAGAGTGAAGCCTTCTTCACTCTTGTCAACTCCTTTTTTGCTTCCAGTCTAGTTTTCTTGTCTTTTGGCAATAACCATTCCAATTTCTTTCTTCATATACATATCTATATATATACATATCTATATATATATATATATATATATATCAAGTTATTTCTATTTTGTCATCTTTCTTTGAGAGAAGTCTCACTTGTTTATTTGTGTTTATCACGTTCTTGTCCTTGACAAAAACCACTCATTTAAACTCATTTTTTGAATCAACATATCCAAAAGAGAGAAAAAAAATAAATAAAAAAAAAACAACCAAATTGTGCTATAAAATACAAACCACATATTCACAATAATAAGGGGTGTAGAATTACAATGTATCACCCACATAATCCTCTTCTACCATGTTCCCCTCACACGAAGCCTACCATTGCAAACTTTGCTTTTAAAAGGCGTTCTTGTACTTTTTCCCCTGCACTCGCGGCTTCTCACGAAACGATGATTGACGGCGTCACCGACCGTCGAAGAGCATGGGAATTGCACAACCGCAATCCAGCAAATCGGCGACCGGGAATCCGAACCACCGATCGCACAAGATCGGGACACGATCACGATGCGGCGATAGCAGACTGACGGCGAATTGCGGCAGCAAAGCGTCAGAAATTCCGGGAGCAGCAGCAGCAGCAGGATGAATGAATTGGGGTGGGGGAGGTGGAATTAGGCCGGAAGCGGGCGTGGAATTGTGGCGCTCGATCCAATCATTCATGGCATCGACGCCGTTTCCCGAAGCCATGGAACCCCTAATTTGCCACAGTTGCGAAGCTCGAAGAAGGTCAGAGAGCTACAGTCTCGGGGCCCGCCGAGATGCTTCTAGTAAAGTCGTGCAGGGGGTTCACCGCGTGGTTATGGCCGTCGTCGCGGTTAGCGGGATCAAGCCACGGGTTAAGGTCTCCGTTAGGGTTTGGCGCTGCAGCTGCTGCTTCTAATTTACCACCTGTTGTTATATCTTATCGTTGCCCAATGCTGTCGTCTCTCCAACCTCATTTCGTACTTCATTCATGGGCTGGCTATTTAGTTCATCTCTTACAGTGTGTCAGCCCCCCCCCCCCCCCCCGGTTCTGCATATTCGGATAGTGGTGCTTTTCAGAGAGATGCTGTGGAACCGAGTTTTGGAAAATTTCGAGCAATTGGGGGTGGAGTTGAGAGGTTGAGTCGGACCATGTGTTGATTGATCACTAATTGTCGATGAAGTGATTGATCATGGTGCTTCGGTGTCGTCCGTCGAGAGGCTCCTTGCGAGGGCGATTACTTCGTGGGTTCTAGGCTTTCGTTCTGTGATGTAAAATGTGAGATCGAATTGCGTGAGCCTCAAGGGCTTGGCAGGTCGGAGAGAAACGGAATCCGTGAACGCGGAATGAGATTGCTGTTAGTCGATTGAAATACTTGTTCCAGACTTCGACCTTCGGGGTTTCGAGAATGGATAGAGGCGGATCACCGTGATGTGATTTTTCGTCGCTGCGGTTCTGTGGCGCTCCGCATAGTCTGTGCAGGTGCATGGGGAACGTAACTTTGGTCTTTTTTTGATTTCGATGGTTAGGTGTTGCAGATTGCCGTTTGTAAAAGAATATTGAACTTCAGACATGCGCCTAATTTTTGTCCAGATCTATCTTCATTTTTTGTTATTGTTATTTCCTGCATTGTTGCGTAGAACATGAAAGAAATCTAGTCTACAGAGCTGATGCCTCTTCGCGATAGTTTTTTCTTCTGGCAATCTTCTCATTACCCGACGCTTGCTCTTTTTAGCTTCTGAAGTGCTGTTTTATGGGTTTTTAAAATAATGTCAAACGAGAACAGCTTTGGACTTATTTTTAGAAATGCTTCTGGGTAAAGGCGATTCCACACAGAAGTCGCGAGCAACAGATACCCAAGTCATTTCTCTAATTCTCTTTTCCCTTTCCTCTTTAATTGTTTTAAGTTTGTATGTGTACTCTTCCGAATTTTGACATCTTACAAACCGGATTGGCACTCTCAGTCTGATTACCATGAGGTTTCTCTGGAAAAGCTTGTATTGAAAGCGTTCCTTTTCAAATTCTCGAAAATGATTACTCTAGAAGTTGGTGAATCCTCGTAAGAAAGTGACCTTAGGGTTTTTTATTGCGTGATTGAAGTATTGACAGACGAGGTAACTGAGTCTCAAATTTAGAATGTACATGAAAAAAAAAAAAATTAGCTTATTATGATGTTTACAACGATGGTGCTGGCTTTTGACTAGAGACGTTTTAATCTGAGTTTAGAGGCTGGGAGATGAAAATCAGAATGCAATGAAGCGTAATGGCATGGGACCTGGTACGGATTGGCCGGAGTCGCAAGTTACGCAGCCGCAGCAAACAAATGGGATACGAGAAAGAGAACCAGCCATTGACAATCACCGGTTGAAGAGGCGGCCGTCCTGCGGGTCCTTAACGAATGATGGAAATATGGGATTATCTACAGCCCGGAGCTTACCTCTACCTACCGGTTTGGTGGGGCAAAAAGTTCCAGGGAAAGATGCGCTATCATTTGCAGCCGTTCTTCGATCTCGCAACAAAATCGTTGGTATGATCATCAGTTGGACAATCCCCCCCCCCCCCCCCAACTCCTGCCTGCCCCCGGCTGTAAGTGAACAAATAACATCTCATTTGTTGTGTGTTCTCATTTTGCCTCATTAACATGCAGATGCGCTGGCCCTTTATGAGAGTATTTTGGAGGTGGAACCTCAAAATGTGGAAGCTCATGTTGGAAAAGGAATCTGCCTTCAACTCCAGAATCTGCATCGTCCAGCATTTGAAAGTTTCCAGAATGCTTTGCAGCTTGACGCGCAGAACGCTTGTGCTCTGACGCATTGTGGAATGCTGTACAAAGAGGAAGGTCATTTGCTGGAAGCAGCAGAGGTATTTGCTACCTTTGGACTTGACTGACTGGGCCATCCGAAGATGATGTATTCGTGTTATGAATGGTCTTGTTAATCCGTGGAATTATTTCTTACGTTCAAATAGCGATTTCATCTCATTGCAGTGCAACTGTAAGCTTGAGTTTTTACAAGCTTCGAAATGGTGCTGTCAGGGTCAACTTAACAATCTTTACTGATGATCTTTGAATGTCTTAGGCCTACCGCAAGGCTCTATTGACAGAGCCAACATACAAAGCAGCTTCAGAAAATCTTGCTATTGTGCTCACCGATTTAGGCACGAGTCTGAAGCTATCGGGACATATTCAAGAAGGTCTGACGAAGTATTATGATGCCTTAAAAGCAGACAGTCGGTATGCTGTAAGTCGACATCGGCCCTCCCATGCTTAAAATGAGTGTTTCATACGTATTTTTCTCATTCTGGGTTCGGATCATCCAAGTTGTCTCTATTGAAATCCAAGTTGCTATACGAAAATATTTTTTCCCTGGAGTGATATTTTTGTTGAAAAGAATCATCTACTGTGCTGTTACTTTAGAGAGGTATCTACTGGTTTGCTGGAGGAGATTATATTGTTGACACACACATACACACACAAACACACACACGTGTGTGTGTGAGAGAGTGTGTGTTCGAGTGAAATATTAGCCACGCGTTGGCAGCTAAACACATTGATTAGTGAAGATAGAACTTTATGGAGACATGTTTGCAGCCAGCTTATTACAACTTGGGAGTTGTCTACTCGGAGATGATGCAATATGACATGGCCTTGAGTTGTTATGAAAAAGCAGCCGCCAATAGGCCCATGTATGCAGAGGCCTACTGCAATATGGGAGTTATCTACAAGAACCGTGGTGATCTAGATGCTGCCATTTCCTGTTATGAAAGGTTGGTAGGAATCCTTTCCTGTATTTCCTATTTGGTGCATATATTGTAGTTGTTTAATCTTCGCTGTAATCGTGTGATGCGAGTTCACCATTCGTTATGCATAATTATCTATTTGAAATTTTGTCACCCTTGGGCTTTAACTTGTTCTTTGTAAATTCCGGTTCACTCCTTCACCGAGCAGGTGCTTGGCATTGTCTCCCAATTTCGAGATTGCTAAGAATAACATGGCCATTGCCTTAACAGATTTGGGAACTAAGGTACGCAACTCCCATTTTTGTGGTACGGGTGATCATTTCAACTTTGTTAGCAATGCAGATAAAGCTTAAGGTTCAATCTCCTGCTGTCCTATGTTCTACTACTCTCCATTGGCTCACAGGATTTCTCTGACTTAAACTGAACAGGCAGCATGTAGCGAAATGTTAAATGGATCATCCTGATGCAGGTCAAGATAGAGGGATACATCCATCAAGGAGTAGCATACTACAAGAAAGCCCTCTTATATAACTGGCACTATGCGGATGCTATGTATAACTTAGGGGTTGCATATGGCGAACTGCTCAAATTTGACATGGTAATTTTCCTCTTCCACTCGATCTTGATGATATCTTGTGCTATTCTTTCTGTGTCATGTGCATCCCAGCGTAAAATCATAGAGCAATCTTTGTACCTATGTTCGTTCATCTTCTGATTTGGGAAAGGAGCTTTAGTGGAATGAGGAATTAAATTCCAATGAATGAGTAATAATTCACCTTCAATTCTGTGTCGAAATCTGTAAACGAGGGTTGTGTGTCCGTGTCTTGTGATTCGCTGAGTTAGCATTTGCACTAATGAGTGTTTGGTTTCAGGCTGTGGTTATGTACGAGCTGGCTCTGCACTTCAATCCTCACTGTGCAGAAGCTTGCAATAACCTGGGTGTTATTTACAAGGACCGTGATAATCTCGATAAAGCTGTCGAATGCTATCAGGTCGGTCTGTTATACTCTTATCACAATTTTTTTTACTAAGTTGGTTCTTTAAGTATTTGTACTAAAGCGGTTTCAAACAAACTACTTACATGATTCTCGTGTTATAATTCTTTACAGATGGCTCTGCAAATAAAGCCAAATTTTTCTCAGTCGCTCAACAATCTTGGAGTTGTTTACACTGTTCAGGTACCTTATATACTATGGCAGGTTGTAAACTAATAAGGTCTTATGTCACCATGTAACTTGTCTATTTTTTCATGTCATCTTTATTATCATTTGGATAACATCAGTGAGTGAGCTGGAAGTGTTGGAGTTACTTGCGAATATTTGATTATCATTTGATGCATTTATGCTTATGTTCTGAACCAGGGAAAGATGGATTCTGCTGCGGCTATGATTGAAAAGGCTATTTTGGCTAATCCTTCATATGCTGAAGCGTACAATAATTTGGGTATGTTAGCTGTTTATTTCTTTCAAACAATTACCTTTATGTCACTGTCGATGGTTTGTGATGTCGGTGTTAGTAATTATACCATTAATCACTCTAGTTTAATTTTCAATGACGTAGCTCATGTTTGCCTTCTCGGTGCAATTATGAACCTGATTTTAGGTACTACAAGCACTTTGTACTGGTGGTAGGGCAAATCAGTAAAGTAATTTTTAGTTGTCATTCATTGAACACACGTGGTTGTAGGTGTAGATATTAACTCTTTATTCATCTTTGAAGTGAATAGAAGCTCATGTGTACATGTTTTGCAGGTGTGTTGCATCGAGACGCGGGGAACATTCCTCTCGCCATCGACGCGTATGAGCGTTGCTTGCTCTTTGATCCAGATTCTAGGAACGCGGGCCAGGTGGAAATGTCTTCTTTTTTCTATTCCTTGCCCATTGTATCGAGATTATTGTTATGTGGAAATATGCTATTTCTATCAGTTGATAGATATTTTAAAGCCTGTCTATATGTAATTTTCAGAATCGTCTCCTGGCTATGAATTACATCTACGAGAGCGATGATGATAAGCTGTACAATGCTCACAGGTATTGTTATCTCTTTCATTAAATAATTATAATTTTAAGAGCAAATGTCAAGTTTCGGGTATGTGACGTTCCGATTGAAGCACAGTGCAGTAATTATCTTTTTAATCGTTTTCCTCCGCTTCTTCTCCTCCTTGATGACGATGATCATGATCATGATCTTCTCCTTCTGCCTCATTCTCCTCTTTGATATTCTTCGTCTTATCCATTATTGCTGTTTGTATCTGTATCTGTATTTTGTTTAATTACAATCTCTAGGTCCTGGCCGAAGTTGTGTTTTTTTCCTACTTGAGTCAAAATGCATGTCATTGCAGGAGTTGGGGAAAGCGCTTCAATCGACTTTATCCTGAATTTACGACTTGGAGTAATATAAAAGAACGAGATCGTTCCCTGACAATTGGCTATATATCCCCAGATTACTTCACTCACTCTGTGTCTTACTTTATTGAAGCTCCTCTGCTGCACCATGACTACACTCATTATCACATAGTAGTGTATTCTGCGGTTGTTAAGGTACATCCCCACTTTCAAGCTCTGGTCCGCCTACAGTTAAGTTGGAAATTAGTGGTCATCATGGTGTTGACATGCTTTAGATTTAAGTTTGACCTTGCTCATTCAGTGTATCTCCTTGAGTATGATCTACATCTATGGTGTAAATGACAAGGTCTAGAATTACTTCCACCTGATCACCACATGTTTTTTTGTCAGACTGATGCGAAAACGCAGCGATTTAAGGAAACTGTGCTAAAGAAAGGTGGTATTTGGAGAGAAGTATTTGGTATCGATGAGAAGAAACTTGCTAATATGGTTAGAGAGGATAAGGTAGATATCCTTGTGGAGCTTACTGGGCACACTGCCAACAATCGTCTTGGAGTAATGGCATGCCGTCCTGCTCCCATTCAGGTACTTGCTACTTCCCAACTTCATGCCTCTGATGTGCAGATGTATGTGTGAATATTGAGCTCGTTTGGGATTCTCAGGACTTAAGTATTTCATGTTCAAACTTGGACATCGAAAGATTAAGTCTAAAGGATTATGTGCCCTTTCACTTGAAAAATCAAAATGCAATGTACTGGTTTTTTCCCTTGCTCTAGCCTTCTAACTTTCTTTCTGCTTTCTATCTGGTGTTCCAGGCAACTTGGATTGGATATTCCAACACGACTGGCTTACCAACCATCGACTACCGTTTTACAGATGCATTGGCAGATCCACCAACCACCTTGCAAAAGTAAGCCGACATTTTCTGTGAAGTGCTCGCGCTCCTGCTTTTGAACTGTTTTGTTCTCCTCCCAACTTCGAAGTGTCTTCTTGCACATAGCTCACGGATGTTTTTGGACCTTGAAGGCATGTTGAGGAGCTTGTAAGGCTACCAGGATGTTTCTTGTGCTATACCCCATCGCCAGAAAGTGGACCTGTTGTTCCAACACCTGCTCTCAGTAACGGATTTGTTACGTTTGGTAGCTTCAACAACCTAGCCAAGGTAACTTGTTACTTACTAGTTTACGATCTTTTTAATACCAAAGTATTGTTGTTCGTTTCAGTAGCGACATTATATCTCAATAGCTACAAATATGTTTTATGCGTGTCTTGGACGGACACAATGTACGCCACCGTTAGTATCCTTCTTTTTTAGTTTTTAATTTTCATAGTTAGGGCTATCTGTGGGTGACCAGATTGGAGTTTATATGGGTCCTTCATATCTCACTGTAGCTTGGCATCTGACTAATTAAGGACAAGATTAAATATGAAAACCTTTTTGTCAGTGATCAAAATTACTTGAAGTACTACTATGGATTAACGGAACTATTGTAATACCGTTGAAGGACGTACATTATCCTTGGCGGGTTCAGTTCCCAAACTTAAGTAGTGCAGATGTTCTTGCTTCTCTTTACAAATATTCGCAGGCCATGTGACCATTTGTGTTGACAGCGTATGATGTGAATTGGATTCTTTTTTGCAGATCACTCCTCGCGTACTACGAGTGTGGGCGAGGATACTCATTAAGATGCCTAGTGCCCGGCTTGTGGTGAAATGCAAGCCTTTTTGCTGTGACAGCGTTAGAGAGGCCTTTCTGGCAAAGCTTGAAGAACTAGGTGTAGAGTCACTTCGAATAGACTTGTTACCACTGATTCTACTTAACCATGATCACATGCAAGCCTATTGTCTCATGGATATTAGGTAATGTTCTTTCTTGGCTTTTTTGTTGCGTAACACAATTTGAATACTAATTCTTGATACACTGTAGTCTTCTAGGTACACCTAAACTTCATCTTGATCAGAATTAGTAGAGGCAGAATGCACATGTTGTGACTGAAAGGAAGAGGTTTACCATATATTCAGCGAATACGTGTCAGGATGGTATTTATAAATTTCTGATCGTTAGACTTGGTTTTGTGCAGTTTGGATACATTCCCGTATGCGGGCACCACCACCACATGTGAGTCGCTTTACATGGGTGTACCCTGTGTAACAATGGCTGGGAAGGTCCATGCGCATAATGTGGGCGTCACACTATTGCACCAAGTTGGTAAGTGAACTCATATTGTGGGCTTTTTACTCTTGAAGTGACATTCCATAATAGTGCAGTTAGCATTAAGAAGCCCGCAAAGTTCAGATGTAAGTTTTGGCCCTCATTTATCATCCAAGTTTTTTCTTTGCAGGACTGGAGAATCTTGTAGTGAAGACAGAGGATGAGTACGTAGACAAGGCAATAGAATTAGCATCTAATGTCTCTTCGCTTGCAAGTCTAAGAAATGGACTTCGTGAGAGGATGCTGAGTTCATATCTTTGTGACGGCCCCAAATTTGTGAAGGGGCTTGAAGAAAAGTACCTTCATTTATGGCACCGCTACTGCGACGGGGACGTCCCATATGAGACAAGGAAAAAGGCAGAAGATGAAGCTCTTGTAAGCCGCTCAGCCAGCACCACTGGTGATGTAACTGATTTGCCAATGAAGGAGGCCGGCTCTGCACCACATCAGCCAAACGCGGCCACCATTACTTCAACTTCCTCGCCCACGTCAACTTTGTCCACCACGGAGGCGAACCGTTTGGACGAGGCACGGATGAAGTTTCCGAAATTAAGTCCAAGTTCTCTTGGTCCATCCAGCTAACTCGAACATCATTCTTGGTTACCTTCAGTTTGAAGGTCCTCTTCGGGAGGGACAAATATCAGCCGGGTGCTAGGTAATTTTTAGTCTTTATTGCTCTTCTCATAGCCCTTTCTAATGTGTGGGCCCCTTCACACACACACACTCCTGTCGTATCTTGTAATTCATTCAAAGAGCTCATTTTGATGAGATGGTCTGCGACCATTCCTTTATTTACTGTATATGAATTTCAGAAATGGTTCATTTTCTTGTAATTGATTTTAAACTGGTTATCACATCCAATTGAGATTGGGATTGCTTGGATGTCATCTTCCTTCATTCAGAACAATCCAAGTTGTAACTCTTCATGTTAATGAATCTCAATTTTATAAGAACAGGAGTGATGTTAATGGATGAAAGTGGTCTAGGTGGCTGTTGCTCATCATATGTTCTCAAAAAGGGTGTGTTTTCAGAGGTTGTGAGGCAGTGCTAGGTGAAAATAGGTGGTGAATTACTGAATGAAACTGGAGTGGAGTTTATAGATGGCTTAACATACATTAATATTTAACATATTAAAGACTACTAATTGTTTTAAACTATTCTTTTAAAAGAGTAGTGGATGTTTATTAAAAAAGTTAAATATAATTTTTTTTTTCTATCACCCTACGAGGATAAGAAAAGGATATACTTATCAAAGGCTCTAAAAGGTACTATGGTAAGGATAATTTTTCTTTTCTATGTTAAATCATAAATTGTAAAAAAAATCACAAAAGAATATGAGTCATTTTATTTGTAGCAACTTCATAGTTATATAAGGCTAGGATTGTTGAACTTATATAATAATGTTGTGGGTTGTAAATGACAATTAGAAAAGATAATTAAGAGTTGTACTTATTTTACTACTACTACAAAGAAGTGATTATAGAATCATGGCAAATAGTTTAACATCTTTAATTCTATTAAATAATGTGGTCTATACCATATTATTAAAAGATAATCATGGTAAAAAAACTAAGTTTTTATTTATTATTTGTAAAGAACATTGTTTGACATTCTTCTAAATTAATTAAATATAAACCTTTTAAATTACTTTTTCTTATTGACATTTCATTGAAATATCCATATGTGTGGTCTATACCATATTATTAAAAAATTATATATATGTATGTATATTTACATACATTCATAATTGCAAGGTTACATTGTAAAAGCATTGTTTAAAATTTTAAAACTTTTCAAAAGTTGTAGCAATGTTCTTCAAGATTGCAAAGGTCTTTAAAGAGAAAAGATCAAAAAATAAATTTAAGTTTTTTATATTATAGAATATAACTTTTGTAAGTTTTTAGTAAAAAAATAAGTTATATAATAAATGGATAATTATTATATATCTAAATTATAATTTAAACTAAAAAATTTAAGTTAAAAGAACCTCTTAATTGACAAATCAAGTAATATAATATCATTAAAAAAATAATAACAATGCATTTTGTTATAAATAAACAAAATTTTGATGTTTTATCATAACATAAATTTAAAACATATATATAGAATATTGTTAGAAAAAATACTTGCATCTTATAAAACTTGTAGATTAAATACCAAAAGTAATAATATCTTTATATATAAGGTAAATAATGCCATTATATACAATGGTTAGCTATTGCTATTAAACAAAAAAGACTTTGAAGTTACAACACTTAATATCAACAAGGTTGTATACAAAGAGAACATAAAATAAGATGCCTTTCACTTCCAATATTCAATACTTATAGGTTGTGGTTGTTGCCCTAAAAGACAACTTCCACTCTTTGACTTTTACATACATGGTCTTAAGATCCTTTGGCATCTTAGTAACCACGATTGTATTCTATACCAAGCATTAATTACTTTTACATAGTCTTTGGATATTCTTTAGTTAATACTTTATCTTCTTAATTTATATTCTTGCTCCTTGACCTCATCTTATGTCCATAGGATGCCCTTTCTATATACCAAGTATCAACCCTTTGGCCATTAGCAACTTACTTAAGATAATATCTTATACAAGATAATTTATTCTACTTTCACTTTTACTTGCTTACACTAACACTTCCACTTTGCTATTGGTCAATGGCTTTCAATCTTAATAGCTTTGTCAACATGTAATGTCTATCCTTTACCAATGCCTTTGTGAATAAATCAACAAGCATATCTTTTGTTGTATAATATTTTATATCAATCACTTCCATTTCAATCTTCTTTCTTATGAAGTGATGTTGAATGTCAATATGTTTGGTTCTTCAATGATGCTTTGGATTTTATACAAAATGAAGACATCCTTGATTGTTACACTCTATTAGAGTGCTTCCATTTGTACTATTCTAATGTCCTCTAAAAATTGTCTTAGCCATATTGCTTCCATTGTATCAAAGCTTACTATCATATAATTCGCTTCCATTGTTGACCTTGCAATTATTGGTTGTCTCTTAAAATTCCATAAAATAGCTCCCATTCCAATAAAAAATACATACCTCATTATTGACCTTCTATTATTTGCATCTCCAATCCAATTTGCATTACAATAACCATGCAAAGTAATTTTTTTTACCTCCAAAGCACAATTTGAAATATGAAGTATATTTTAAATACCTCATGATCTTTTTGATAATTTTCCAATGGATTAGTCTAAACTTTGACATGGATTAGTTCATAATATTCATTGCATATGTAAGATCCATCCTTGTGTCAACCATTGCATACATAAGTAAGGCCATTGCTACCTTGTATAGAATACCTTGCATTTTAGCTTTTACTTCAGCAAATTCTTGATTTGTGAGCTTCATCAACTTCAAATTTGCCTATAAAGGTGTTCCAATAGGCTTATATTCCTCCATGTTGAATTCTTTCAAGACCTCCTTAATGTACTTACTTTGGCTCATTGTAATGGTCTTTTTAGTACAATCTTTTAAAAACTCCATTCCTAAATAATAGTAAAGCTTTCCTAAATCATTCATTTCATATTTTTATTCTAACTTTTTCTTCAACCAATCTATCATCTTTGAGGTATTGGTTAAGATGATCAAATCATCAATATAGAGGATGACAATTAATATAAACTCATTTCATTGCATCACATACAAAGAATGTTCAAATTTATTCCTTCTAAATCCTTTAGTCATAAAAAATATATCAATACATTGATACTATGTTCTAAGAGATTGCTTAAGCCCATATAAGGATTTCTTCAACTTACAAACAAGATGTTGTTTGCTTTCTTTTACAAATCTTTAAGGTTAATCCATATAGATGTTTTCTTTTAGATTTTCATTCAATAAAGCCATCATTTGATAAATCTCCAAGTCCATTGCTGCTCTGATTATTACAATGATTTTAATAGCATTGAATTTGGCTACAAAAGAAAATGTTTCAATAAAATAAATACCAACAACTTATGAATAGCCTTTTGTAGCCAATCTAGACTTATAACTTATAATATTGCCCAATACATGTCTTTTGATTCTAAATACCTATTTACAACCAATTAAAGATCAATTTGATAGAAGTTGAGTCAATTTCAATGTTCCATTATCCATGACTGATTTATACTCTTTTTTTATAATATTCTTCTACTTTATAGCATTTGTGGACTTCATTATATCACACAAACTCAATGGATTAGCTAAAAATATAATATTAATATATTCTTTACTTACTTGAAAAAAGATGTAATTCTTCTATCATGCACCAAGTTGTTTTCTATCTATCAAAGGATATCTCCTTTCATATGATGAAGCTTCACCTTCATTCATTCCAAGTTTTCTTACAAGCTTCTTCTCTCTTAAAATTCATCTCTTGTCATTTAAAGATTGATACTCCTCATCATTATCATCATTTTCAATATTTTGATTGTCTTCATTGTTAGTTTTAGTATTTTTAGGCAATCAATAATCTACCTTCTTTGGCTCTTCACTTTAATTTGTATTTCCACCATCTTCATTTTCATCATCTTCTTTTTCTCTTTTTTTTGTTGAAATTGAAGATATGTCCACAAATACACCATTATTTTCACTTGGATACATTTCCAAGTGCTTATAAGCATTCTTATGCTCCAAAAACTCTATATTACGACTTTTGATGAAATTCTTGGTTTCTAAACACATTAATCTACATGCTTTGGTATCTTCACAAAATCCAACAAACATACATTTTATACCTTTTGCATCAAATTTGGACCTCATACAATCTGATATCTTTGTATAAGCAATGTATGCAAAGATTCTTATATATGAAACAGAAGGTTTTTTATTACTCTAAGCTTCTTGTAGAGTCATTGATATGAGTACACTTATAAAGCATCTATTCTTTGTATACGTTGTATTTACTACAACTTTTGTCCAATATTCATACTTAAGGTTTTGTACATAAAGCATACTTCTTGTTATCTCAACAATGGTGTAATTTACTCTTTTAGTAACTCTATTTTATTTTAGAGTATAAAGAATAGAGATTATCTTGCAATACCTTGAATATTCAAAAATTCATGAAAATTCTTTGAAATTTATTCACCTCTATTATCTATATGTAATATTTAGAGTTTGCACTCACATTATTTTTTTACAAAAGCCTTAAATTCCTAAAACCTTGAAAAATACTTATTCTTTACTTTAATGATATAAATTCATATTTTTCTTAAAAAATTACTAATAAATATAATAAAGTACCTTATTCATCTAATTTATGGTATTTTCATTGGTCTACAAATATTAGAATGCATAATATCCAATGATTTGCTTACATGTATTGCAACTCCACTTAGAAATAAAGCCCTTTGTTGTTTGCTTTGTATACAATCTTCACAAGTAAATAGCATGGCATTGTGGCTAAATAGAATAAGATCCAAATCACTTACCATAGATTGGAGCTCTTTCATTCTTTTGGCATTCAAATGACTAAGTCATTAATACCAAATTCCAAACTTGTTTTGATCTTATAAAAAATCAACAAATACTGCCATTTCAATTCCATTCACCTTCTTACAATTGATGAAGTAGAGGTTGCCATCTCTTAAGCCTTTGGCAACATTTTGTCTATCCAATGTCTTTCCAAAACATCTATTTATGTCAAATTTAACCTTACAACCATGTAATATAAGTTTGCTCACTGAAAAAAAGTTTTTCTTCATCTTTGGCACAAGTAAGAATTCTTTTAATCTGATTCTCTTGATTTGATTCTTTACAACAATTTCCACCACAATAGAATCAATTTCAATGGTTTCTACCATGCCATTGTCTCCTAACTAAAATTTTATTACTAAAATTT